ATGATTTATAATGTCATTTCAATAGAAAAACAATGACAAACAGTCACTCTATAATAGATTATCTTTCAATAACACGATTCGAATTTATGCATCACTTGCGAATATTGTATTCATTTCAGAATTTATCCTCGCTCATGTATTAAATACATAAAACGATTTTGAACAACAGAAATGTCCTGAAAATATTCAAATAAAAAATTAATCGTTTTAAAGAACGTTCACCTGCAAAAAGGAAAATATATAGTAAGATTCTTTTTGATATCTAGAGAAAAAAAAAAAGAAGATAAATGTAGTCTATAGTCTACAACAAATCTATCCAGATCAGAGTTGATCATGAACTTCTATCGTTTAAAATTTCATTTTTTGAAGCAATTTTTTGATACAACAACACAACGGATAGATCATCTACATTCAAAATATGTCATCATATAGTCAAGTTTCAATTTAAAAGGCTAAAAAGTATATATGAGTGTATAATAGAGCCTGATAACTCGAAGTTATCGATGAAAAATTTACATCTATATGACTGCCTTGCTAGATGTCAGTGTCAGGGAGCAGCACTGATCGATCTAAAAAAAGATTCTGTAAAAAATCGAATCAGTATATGAAGATAGTAATAGTTATCGAACTCAACCGCAGATTTTGATCATATTAGGAAACGTTTTTCTTTCAGTTATGAGAACAAGTACTATCTGAAATCATAAAATACAGAATTTATCATCGTTATAATCCGCCAAACCTATTGAAATCAGAGAGGAATAATTTTCTTCTAAATACCTCAATATTGCCTCCATTTTACACTGTACTAATATTATCAAGAAAACTAAAAAGAAATTTACAAAAGAGTAGCGAAGAAAGTTAATAAAAAAAAAGAAATGAGAAAAAAATACATATTAAATTCTTCAAAAAAACTCCATAAAAATCAAACAATCACTCGCATCGTCCTTAATAACAGACTTTTCATTTTCATTTTCTTTCATTTTCTTATTAAATTGTACTCTCGGTCTTGTCTTTGTATTTCCGGAAAACTCGGTTAAATCATAAATATTGACTTCCATTTCCTGACAAACGAATTGTTAAAACACCAAAAAAAAACAACATATTAGGATAGCATAAAGGCGTCCGGTTCAATTGTTTTCTGTTTACCCATTTAAAATTAATAATTTTCCACTAAAAAAGTTTTTTTTACTACAGTTTCTATTCGAGTACTACTTTAAATTCGAACAAGATTACTTTTTTTAACATGAAAATAAAGTACATGTAAAACAATTTATATTAAGTGATGCAACACTAAATTTACTATATGATTATCTTAAAGTTAAAACGAAAATGCCGCAAAAACGTATTGTCTTTCTGTTTTTAACCCGCTAAAAGTACTCAAGCATAAGTAATGTCACGATTAACTATTAAAAAAAATGATGAATATTTAAAACTCACGAGCCATTGATTATTCATGTTCGTATTCGTCTGCTACTTTTTCAGTTCATTCGTAATCATAGGATAGAATATAGACACTTTTACGAGTTTAGATAGTTAATTAAGGATTTCTGATCACTTAAGGTTAGTTATGGTATAGTTCTGTCGAATCGACTATATATATGCATCCATTGACCATACCACTGCAGGTATAAAGAATAGTTAATATATTAGTAAAAAAGTTTTAATATTTCTTGAGAATATGTGATGTTTTGTAACATACAGGCATAGAATAAAACGGTGAACAGAAAAGTAATTGAGTACTCAGCTGGAGGTTTCTTAGTTATTAAGAACTTACCGGATATATTCAATATAGTGTATTAGTCTCGGCTACACTTACCATATTCAAAAATTCAAGAAAAAATTAACTTACCGTCATACTTATTTGTTGTTAATACATCAACTAAAAATTGTCTTCCGAAATTGAAAGTATACCTTTTTTTTCTCCTTCATTTAATTATCGTTTGGACTCGTGGCGACAAAATCTCTAATTAAATATTACGGTTGGATTTTTTCTACTTATATCTTATCTTTTTTTTACACCAACATTGAACGAAGAAATAAGGATGATCAAGCAATCAAGATTAGAAAAAAATGCGTTTTGCATTCAAAAAATGCGCTTAAACGTATTTATTCATGTTTAAATGGAGTTTAAACAAGCTTTTTTTTCTAATGGAAAATGAATACGTTTATCTTACACTTTTTTGAATGGAGATATTTCAGTTTATTAGCTTCCTATTAGCTTGTAACTGGATTCTTTGAGAGTTACTAAATCTTGTAATCAAGGGACAAGTGGCAGAATGTAAGGTTTCGTGCCTAAAAAAATGACACAATGAGTTATACATATTCGGAATCAGCGTCGAATTCTGAGTAAAACTGTATTCTCAGATCGTTCAAATTCGCGAAAATATTTTTTTCGAAAAATCTTAGGCAAAGGCACCCATGCGGCACTGACTTTTAGCAGTGCGGCACTCTTTCAGCAGAAATATATCGGCACCGATGCGCACGGGTGCCAGTCGGCACTGGTTCGGCACTTGCTGGGCATGGGTGCGCACCGGTGCCAGCCAGTGCCAATGACTGATGGCATGCCACGCGCATCGGTGCGCACTGGCAGTGCCGCACTGGAATTTTTTTTATAGGGAATCCAATGCTCAGTCGTAATTCACCTTTTTTGTCTTCGATTATGATTTATGAGCTGTACTGAGCGTTTCCTTGAGTCCGCATGAGATTTGAGCGAGATATAAGGATTTTAATTTTTGCTAGTAACAGGCGAGAAACCGGTTTTTTACAATAAATGCCTCTGGCGAAGTTATTTTCATTTCTACACAAAAACAAATATTGCCACTATGCTCAGCGTAGTCGATTACCTATACTCCATGGCATTTCGAGATTTCCAGAGACGTCTACTGGGAGATAGACACGTACTAGGGAAAAAAGACTGCCCGCACGACGATAGCTGGAGAGCTGGGGCTTGCATAATTTTGTAAAGTAGCGTTCGGACTACCTCCGCAAGTAAAAAATTAATAACATTGTATGTTAGTTTTTCGAGAACGGAGCTGGTTTTTCAAAGAACCTTTGAAAAATTGGACTTCTGGAAAACTCTGGAACACGTTTTTGCTCATAAAAACATGTCTTAAGGCCTTGGTTGTTCAACCGTGAAAACCGCAGGTCGCTATCTCATTCCTGTGAAACATTATTAGCAAAACACTCACGACCACCGTGTTTTAGCGCCGATAGTAGTTCCAAGACTGGCACCCTGTGACTATTGGTAGCTTTGAAAACAGATGGACGATAGTTAAGATAGAATGCACATCTTCTCTTTAAAACTACTGTTTTTATTCTAAAACAACTCATAAAATATACAGAGTTCCCTTCTACAACTTAAAAATCAGATCTTCATTTTATTGTGATCAGATGGAGCCTCTAGACATTGATTTTCGACTTGAACGACACACCATTAGAAAGAGCACTGCTTAATCTATCTCCAATGTAAATAGCTTATTGGCTTAAGGTTTCTAGGTGTACATTTGACAGTCAACAAGTCGGAGACGGGAAATCCTTCAGGTTATTGAAGGTTTGGACTCTTACATATTTGGATAAAGCACAGTGAATTACATATAGACAAAGTCATTCAGATCATGACAGACCCTTCTCATGGCAGCTGAGAGTCAAAGACTGTCTTTCGACCCATTTTTTGTTTCGGCCGCCATTTCACAGGGAAGCGTTTTGATGAATTGTGGATGCGATTTTCGTGACCAGTATTCAATTCTGAGTCAGAAAAAGTGTCATTTTGCTAGTTTAGAGAAGAAATATTTTTCGGTATCTGAGGGGAAACCTTTGCCCTAAGATTTTTCGAAAAAATGTTTTTCGCGAATTTGAACGATCTGAGAATACAGCATTACTCAGAATTCGACGCTGATTCCGAATATGTATGACTCATTGTGTCATTTTTTAGGCACAAAACCTTACATTCTGCCACTTGCCCTTTAAGAAAAAAATTTTTTTTTTGTTTTATATTGGACTACCAAAATCCTTCCATAGTTGAGCATTCAAGATTAATTTAGCAATAAAAAACAAATAAAGAAAAAAAAATGAACAAAACAATACATATATCAAAAAGTAAAATAAAACAGCGAGGCACACTTTTTCCAAGTATAAGAATGTTAGTTTTTTTGGGAATGCATATTGATTCTTCCTTTTCATTCTATCATGCAACAAAAAATAAATACTTCGAAAAAAACAAAAACAAAATGTAGGTTATACAAGTGACTAGCTCAACATACAGACACACAACACGTATATTTGTGTGGTTTTGTTTCTTAAAGAGAAAACCTCCAACACAAAACAACAACAGAAAAACGAAAAAAAGAAAACTCGTTCAACACAGAAATAAATAAGCTAAACACTGATCATAATCACAAATATAAAATACAAAAAAGTGAAAGAGCACCTATGACTATGTTTTCTTTTCGTTGATAATAATATAGAGACGCCAAACGGTCTCGAATTGAGCAATGTTTTCGTCTATACTCGAATTTGATTAAGGAAAAAAAATGTTATGAAAAATATTTAAAAACAACACACTAGAGTGAAATATCCACAATCTGACGGTTGTATGGAAAGATGAAAAAAAATCACATATATAAATTGTTCGACTAGATAATACAACAAAAAGAAAACAACATCGACTAGAGTGTATAATAAACAACTTGATTAAATTAATTTTGCTTCCTTTTGACTAGATAAAGATGAAAACAAAACAAAAAAATTTAAAAAACGAAATAATTCATGACGTTAAAAGGAAGAGGAAGTAAATTTGCATTTCGTTTTGATTAATACATGGACGATTCTAAAATAGAAAAGAATATTAACATTGAAAGTACTGCTGTCACGAATAGATGTCGATAAAATACGTTATTCTATCAAGAAATTTTGAATGTTAAATTTACTATTTAAACAATTCTATTTCTACTATAATTCACTTACCATCGTTAAACTGTTCATGAAAAAGAAATTAAATTATTTTAATCTGATTCTTGTTTTTTTATTTTAACAACACTTAAATCTAATGGCAACATTGTTGTATTACTGCAACGTTCACGTAATGCTGATTGTTGCTGTGTCATCGTATCATTAAATGATGAACGTTTTTTAACTGTTGATAATTGATTTTCATATTCATCATATTGTCGTCGTTCATCAATAATTAACGATGGTTCTTTAATATCGTCATCGATTTCTTCACTATTTTTCTTCTTACTATCATAATGTAAATTCATAACAGGAAAAAGATTGCTATTATGCAATGTTTGACGATATTCTTTCTGTGTTTGATGACGTACTTTAGCTGCTTCATTTTTCAAATATGTTTTCATTTGAAAATATTGAAGTGCCTGTAACTGTTGTATTTGTTCTGTTAAATTATTCGCTTTAAGCGTATTCAATAGTGAAAAATTTTGTTCTTTATTATTATCATTCATTTTTGCTGCCAAATAGTTTTGAAAACATAAATATTGATATGCATTTGAGAACGTATTTGGTTGTTGTTGATTCTGATTCAATAGAATATTTTGTTGTGTATTGAAATGATAATTATCGTTATTATTGTTGCTGTTGAGTGATGTATTATACATTTTTTGTTGCCAAATTGTTGGTGAACGCTGAGGATGTTGTAGTTTATGTCGTTTATTTGATGGAGAGATATTATGTTGTAAATTTGTTGATGTAGATGTTGGATCAACTGTGACAGTGAGGTTGTTTGTTTTGAATCGTTTTTTTAATGGTAATGATGATATTGCTGGAGATGTTGATCTTTTGTCCGATACGGGTGATGGATAAATTATTGGTGAAGTTTGAGTTTGTGATTTTTGTTTCTTTTGACGATGACGATACAATGTTGATTTGACGGAACTAAATGTTGGTAATTGTTTTTCAATATCTTTACCGTGTTTATTGATTGAATTTTGAACTTCTTCATCGTATATTCGTGGTATTGTTAAGGTATCTTCATAGGCCCGTTTTTTCAATCTAGCTAAAAATTCATGACCGGGATCAACGCGAATAATACGATCATGTAAATGATCATCATTACGTCGTACTACACAATCTTGGTATGTACGAACACTTGCACTACATAATTCACTAAAACAAATTAAGATCAAAATATAAATGAGAGAATGAGAAAAAATTGTTCTACATGTATATAAAATAACTGGAAAAGGACTAAAAACTTCAACGGGCTTTAACGATTAAAAAAACGTTAATAAACTAAAAATTTGAGCTCACCCTAAGCACAAATGAATACTTCATCAAAGTGTATGAACAACTTACTGTGTACAAGTCCACGACACACTACCATCTAAATTTGTACGACGCTGCTTGTAACGATGACCATCCAATAATAAACAAGGTTTGTTCTTTTGTGTTTTTTGCACTCTGAACGTACCTGATTCAGATGTATTCGACAGATCTTTTTCACTGAATATACTCGATTTATCGTCAGATGACATCGATTCATTTGATTCATCTTTAATACTGCTGTTGTTGTTATCGTCATTCGACGTTGTCGGAGATGATGTAACTGTTAACAATGGAGATTGAATAGCTGCTATACCAGCAAGCATATCAAGACTATAAAAAAATCCAAACTGTTATTTCACGTGAGACATGCATAAGACATTATCATGTTGCATGTCCTCAAAAGTCACTGTTTTCATATTAATTATAAAAGAGTGCCCTGGACAGAATATTTTTTTCGTTTTGTCATCAAAAGCAAAGAGAGTTGGTTCTGAAGAGTTTTGTTTTAAAAATACTTACACCCAAAAGCATTCACAAAAGAACATTTAGATATAACACGAAAAACTTGATCGAAGTCTTGATAAATCAATACGGTCAAGCTGAGATATTTTGTAAAAGATTTCAAAATTCAATATGAGAACTTCCGAAAGAAGAGCGATATTTAAAAAAAATTCAGAATAGAATAATTAGGTCTTCACTTGAATCGCTATTTATACGTACTTTCTAAGATAATCTGGAGATGTGTTCAATTCACTTGCGTTCATTTCGAGCTGAATAGGTATTTGAAAATAGAAATAAGTCTTATAAATTTAACTGTTGTTATTTTTTTTCCAGAACACATACGCATATATCCAACAAAGATTAAGAAAATTTTAAGAGAAAAATAGTCTAAGAATAGAAAAGCAGACAAAAGGTTTAATTTTCATGTAACGGGTATAGATCATAGTACAGTTTTGTAGAAATGAATAAAAAAAGGAACGATGAACTGTCATACGCCGCTTGTGTCATTCATATACATAGATAAAGAATGAGAGGAGAGAAACATCGATTATCTCCCTTCAACCGACCGGTCTGTTATTATATGTGATGTACAGAGTGTTGTCATTCTAAAACAAAGTCCACTTATTCTATAATAGCAATCTGTCTTTCCTCTCTCACTCTCTATACCTATATGTACTATACACAATTAAAACAATGTAACCCAAGCAAACATCAACCATCTTCAGAAGCAAGAAAATTTAAATTTTACTCAAGTTTTTTGTATATAGATAAATCTGACATAGTTTAGAAATACTTCATTTCTTCGTTTCTTTTTGTTCAAAAGTATTTTGTTCTGGAGTTAGGAGGATTGCATTGATTTGTTTTGTTTTTTAATCTCTTTTAATAAAAGCAAAATTTCTTAGGAGAAATGCATTTGTATAGCCTAAAATCAAAAAACTATTAAACTCTGGTTGCATGTAGAGCACAAAATGTGTGATTTATTCCGATTAAAAGTATGATCCAACCACAAAACGAGGTGAAAATCTATATTTTCAGAAAGGATCTGAAACGCCATCTTGCGAGATACGATCTTAACTATCTAATCTAGTAATTATCTGATATAAACTGGTTTTCTAAAAAAATATGTATTACAAAAAGCTCGAAAAAGTTTTGATATAGTTCTTCTGAAAATTGTGTCTGGATGCTCGGTGCAAGTAAACTTCTTTTTAAAACAAAAACAATCTGTTTTGTTGCTATTGACTTTGATTTTAGGCTGTACAAATGCGTTTCTCCTAAAAAAATTTTGCTTTTACTAAAAGAGACTGAAAAACAAAACAAGTCAATGTAATCCTCCTAACTCCAAAACAAAAAGAAATAAGAAAAAGCAATAAGAAAAAGAAATAAGAAATAAGAAAAGATTTCTAAGCTATGTCACATGTATCTATATACAAAAAACTTAGTAAAATCTAAATTTTCTTGCTTCTGAAGGTGGTTAATGCTTACCTGGGTTTTATTACATTGTTTTAATTGTTCCAATATACTTACTCAGAAAGTCCTACATTTTGATCAACTGTTATATTGACTCACTCTTAACATTTATAAGACACATTTTTTTTCTATTCTTCCTTCTAATATTTTGCTAATTGAGACTGTTGTTCAATAGAGAGAAAAACACCTGACAGAAAAAATCTAAATCTATTTGTTTTCCACTTAGCTTTTGAAAATAATAAATAATAAACGCACATATGGACAGTGTGTTTCTCTCTGTCCTGAAAACTATACAGAAATTACTGTTAGGTGAAATCTGTACAACGAATGGACGAATAGAAGAAGTAGATATATATATATACATAAGTATACTTATGTATATATATATATATAGGAAAACAGAACCGAGGAACAAAGAAATAACAGGAAATGTCTCTTCTCTATTCTTATATTTTAAATTTCTCAAATGTACTGTGTGATGAGTTTATTATAATCAGACTGCAGCACGCGTTTATGATAGAATATAAGAACAAAATCTCTTTTTTTGTAATGTCGAAAAGCAGAAGGTGACAGACGACAAAAAGGAAGAGACACAACAATGTATTAAAGTCATAAAATTGGAACAGAGAAAACGAGACAAAGACAATTCTGCTGCCCTATTGCTGACCTTCGTCAATCTCATCGTGTGTGTGTGTTCTGTTATATACACACACGCACTGTACAAAAAAAAAATCTTAATTAAAAAATTTTTTATATCGTTTAGTATATTTTTCTTCTGATAATTAAAAGAAGAAAATTTGTCTATAGAAAGATGAATATGGACAAAGAAAAATTTAAAATTCATTATGGGACAAATGTGCACCTGGTTAAAAATATTCATCTCTATCTTGTTGTACATAAGTATTTAAAAAAAATGTTAAATTTAGTCTAAAATATACGAAGAATGAAAAAAATGTTCGTAAGATATTCTTTCTTTAAAGGCTGATTTGAAAGATAAAATTGAATTGGCAATCTTTTTATCTTTTGTTTTATACTAGAATATCTGTCGACTTTTACTTTCGATAAATATATTTAAAACTTCTATTTCAGTATGCTATATGAAGGCTTATTAAAGTCTTCAGGGAACTTATAAATGATATTTGATAGTCTTCCATCTATAATTTCCAATTAATTTTAAATCTTATACAGCTTCAATAGCAATTAATTCAGCTCATGATACACTTTTTACTATAGATTTAAGTTAATTTTTGCGAATAATTTCTGTTTACTATATAACATAAACTTATATGTCCCTAAAAGTTGTAAAAAAGTGCATAAATGGCTATATTAGAAGTATATAATACATCGTTATCTTCTACTAAAAATCTTATAACAATACAAAAGAGATATATTGAAATATACAGACAAGATCTCCAAACGTCTTGAATGACAGATTCAAGAGATTTTTTTTCATTATACTCGCCCACGTTTCACCTACACTGGTAAAAAGCTCAGGAATAATCTCATGATTGAAACTATTACGAAAACCAAGTTTTTTTTTAATATTAACCGCTTTATACCTTTCAGATCATTATAGAAACTATATCTATTATAATGTTTTAATATTTTAGAAGTTTTTTTTTCATTTGAAATTAGAGGATAAAGGAAATCTAAAATGAGTTTGACAGACGTCGCTTAACATGTGCAGAAATTTTGCGTTTGGCAAATAGAAATTAAATACAATTAGAGGATGAAAAACTGGCTTTACTTTTCCTCTTTCTTTGTATTAGTAAGATCGTACCTTTGATTAACGCACAATTTGATTTGTGCTGGGTAGAAAACTAAACAAGTCTACTTTACCTGTACTAAAATTTTCCGATAAATGGCTACTGATATTTGATAGACTTACCTTAAAGAACAGCAATTAGAAAACATTTTTTTCACGTAAGACATGAAAGTAAATCTGCACAAAAAAATAATTCTGAATGAATATTATACAGTACTATAAGTTTATATTTAGATGAAGTGCAATCTCAAGAGCACACATGTTATGTCAGTTGCATTTTCCAGTTTCTTTCATCTAAATCCGTAACTATCTGCGGATAGAAGAAGAAAGAAGATGAAATAAAGGAGAAAAATATAGAAGATTAAGATGACTGACAAATAATGATAGGATCGTGCTTTACTATAGTAACAATAAAACGTCTCAGAAATTGCGCTATCCAAAATTAAAATTGTTTGTAACACTTCTCAAAAGTGCGATATACTTTTTTAAAAAGATGTTCTTTCGTGATAATAGGTTAAAACAAGTTAAATCATAAAAATAAATAGATATTACAGTGCTGTGGGAGAAAAAGAGATACGTTTTCAATTTTTTGTCGTACTCTTATTAGTTCTCAGTCACTTTTGATCGGAAAAACTTGATGTAAAAATCTTCTAGAAATCTCTGACCGATTTCAACCAGATCCAAAATGCGAAGAGCCCCATAAACGTGTCTCTCCCCACAAACTCCACTAGTCTGCATGGGGGAAAAAGAGACACGCCATTCAAATACATGGAGTTTTAATTAATAATTAACTGTTAAAGACACTCCATTGAAATACACAGAGACAAACCTCTACTGTGTCTCATAAGTCGATTTTGATACTATGCCAAATGACAAAATTCTTCAGAATGCTGAACTCTATAACATACGTGAAAATCAGCTCACTATTCCACTGTATTATTATTAGTTTCGCAAAAAATGTGATATAAATTCAAACATATTTTATACAATAAATTAATTTCATAATTAATTATGATAATTATAGCCAAGCATTTTTAATAAAACATTCGGTCCATGTCATCGACTAGAATCTCCGCTATCGAATAGAAAAATGTGTCTGTTTTTTGCCCCTCACAAATTACACGAGTGTCCCTTTTCCCCCCAATGCATGAAAAGAAAAAAAAGACAATCTCGAGTGCAGTTGATTATGTCTTAATTAGCTTAATGAGTTTAAAACGGTAATGAGCTCAAAATCGTATGGTATAGAGAGGAAGATCTGGGCTACAAAATGAGGTATTTTTTAACTAATTATCTCTAAAGCTTAGCAGTCAATTATTAATTAAAACTCCATGTATTTGAATGGAGTGTCTCTTTTTCCCCCATGCAGACTAGTGGAGTTTGTGGGGAGAGACACGTTTATGGGGCTCTTCGCATTTTGGATCTGGTTGAAAATCGGTCAGAGATTTCTAGAAGATTTTTACATCAACGTGTAGAAAAATGTTCGATCTACCATCATTTTTAACAGCAAGTTTTTCCGATCAAAAGTGACTGAGAACTAATAAGAGTACGACAAAAAATTGAAAACGTGTCTCTTTTTCCTCCACAGTACTCTATATCCACTACATATTAAATTTATTTTCCATTTTGTTTTATTCACTAAATACAGTTTAATCTCCATATGAGATATATTACTTTACATTAACGTGGTAACAACAACAATAAAAAAATATATTTTGATGAAAACTACAAATAAATGGTATACAAAATAAAACTTAAGAATTAATTAGCGGAGATAAAAGTCAGTACAAGAAGAAACTAGAAAATATCTTATTAGTAAAAATACATAGAAAAATTCATAGAAACATCGATTTATACAAAGTTAAACAAAAGACTAAAGTCCAATTTCAAATAGAACAGAATAAGTATTTTTATCTCCTGTATCAGTTTACAACGAGTGTACTTTTGAATTGGGAGTTCGACATTTCACAAGCAGAAAAAAATAAATTAAACCGTAAAGTTTTGACTGTTCTTCACATACTAATAGTGAAATAAATATGGAATGTAACATCATTGTTTAATCGTCTCGAGCTTAACAATGAGAAACTTCAGTATAAAAAAGAAAAGATATATGTTAAGACGATGAACACATTTTTTTTAGTTTTCCAAACAGACTATTATTTGCTCTTGTACGAAGTTTTACTTCATCTGGATCCAACTGTGATTTGGCAAAATTCAAGAATACTTGCTCCAGCGTTGTTTGACTAACGGTATAATTTTCAATATCATACGTTTGTTTAGACCTTTCAACAGTACGAAACAAACTAGCTAATGATAAATTTGGTTCATCAACATGAATATGAATGTAACCTTCATATGCTTCTTTAAATTGAGCATTAGGAAATGCATTTTTAATCACACTAAAGAAACCATTTATCTTATTTTCAGTAAATGAATTTAATTTTGCAACTAATGTATAACCTAAAGAAAAAAGAAGATTATAATTTTGTTAATAATGTTGATCAAAATCTTTTGAATCTCACCTTGACCGAATTTTGATTTAAGATATTGAATACTGCCGAGGCATTTCAAACGTCCATTAACCATAATGGCAATTCGTGTACATAATGCTTCACACTCTTCCATACTATGTGAAGTTAATATAATCGGTTTTCCAAAATCACGAAATTTTGCGATGGCATTCCAAAAGTATCGTCGCGCTTTTGGATCCATTCCTGTAGTAGGCTCCTAAAATTTTTAACTTTATTTCAACAGATACCAATCTACAGCACTCCATAAAAGTAGGAATAACCCTGCAACTCAAGAATCACGATAACGAGGCACGTCTACGTTTGTGTGGTTATCGCTCTCACTGGATATTGATCATTCACTAAATTTAAGCCTCTTTTACTGGATGATTCGTGAGATATCAGCGTTTCAGTTGTTTTTCTTAAAATACTGATTAAGTCCTGATGCATGAAGGGATAAAAACTAGCTATGAATCTTCTTTATCTATAGTATGAATTTAATGAGTTGGCTGTTAATAGTCACTGTAATATGCTATTTTATAATCGAAGATCACTGTTAAAATTTGAGATCTTTTATTTATTTAATTTGAGACAGTGCGTCAGACATGAGCAGGATCCGAAAAATGCTTCCGAGCTTCTCACAAACACATCAGGTCTCTGTAGTTAGAAGATATAACATCTTTTCATTTGATTATATTCGTCATACGCATGAGAAAAAAGTTAAGTAGTCTTTTTGAAAAATTTTGTTTCATTATCGAGAAATTCAATTTTTTCGAAATCAGTGAGAAACCAATGAAACTGGGTTCGTATTAGGGATGTTTGGTTCTCGGTTCTCGTATTTTCGGTTCTTCATCAGGAATCGGAATCGCGGTGCCGGTCCTCCTAATGGAATCGAAACCGTGGTTTCTTAGACGATTCCAACTCCAAAACACACATTTTTCAACTCTTAACGCTATTCCGAAAATGTCATTATTTTTGTCGAAGAGTTGAGTTTGATAGAGGAAGAGGCAAAATATGAACCCAATTTCATTACTTTTTGCTTATTTGAATCGATTCTGAGCGATGAATGATTTCTCTTAATATTCAATGGAATTAGTCTAAAACAGTATAGTTTCGTAAAAATAGATTTTCGCCAGATTTTTCAGTGTTTATCGTGAAACAAGCATTGCCACAATACTTAATATGATTCATAATAAAGGTTTCCAGTCGGTTTTACAGTTCCTACATGGGATCCCCTACTATTTGTGTGACACCTAAAAAATTCGACACACCATGTCCAAAAAAATAAAAATTGGATAGTTCGGAGAATTCTTATTTTGAAGAGTACATTCGATCACTTATTATTCCTGTGAAAAAAAAAGAATATGTTCTAATCTGAATTTTGAAATCACGAGTGGTTTTCCAAATATTTCCTGAAAATGAAATTCTATTGTCGAAAAAGATTTGGAAACTTTTTCTCATGAAAATATCTGTCAAATTTTTGGCTTTAAAATGGCACGATGCACAACGCTGTAGTTATCGTCAATTAAAACGTTATTCACAAAATCACCACGTAATTGCTTTTTTGGACAGATGATACATCGTTATCATACTTACATCCAAAAATACGATAGCTGGATCTCCTATCAATGCCACAGCAGCACTTAGTTTTCTTCTGTTACCACCACTATAAGCGTAGACATATTTTTTTGCATGTTTTTCTAAATCCATTAATGTTATTACATCTTGAACTAGATTTGGTATTAATTTTTCATCAACACCGCTGGAATTTAAGAAAAATAGAATAGTTAATAGACGTGATTTTTAAAAAAAATGTCATTTACCGTAATCGAGAAAAGAAATATAATGTTTCTTCACCAGTGAGTAAGTCAATTAATGCATCAAACTGCGGACAATAACCCATTTTACGCTGTGATTGTCTTACATCTACACTAATATCAAGATAATCTAATACAATAGAACCAATGTCTACTACCTCATCACCAGTAATCATTTTGAAGACTGTAGTCTTTCCTGAATAACAAAGAAATAGATAAAATAAATAGATGAATAATAGATTGCAAACATTCGTTTACCTGCTCCATTTACTCCTAATAAACCAAAACATTCCTGCTGTTTAACACCAAACGAAATGTTATCTACTGCACGAAGATTTCCGTGTATTTTTGATACACTATTCAAAACTAACACGTCCGTTTGCATTAAATCTCTAGTTGATGTTTGCTGAATACGTTCTTCTTCTCTTTTAACATCTTCATCTAATACACCAATACCATGAATTAGATCATCATCTGCTATTGTTCTAATTATTCCGTTTTCATTTCGTTGATCAATCGCTGATATTGTATTATTGGTGTCTAATGTATCAACATTTGTATAAACTTTCCGTTTTGGTTTTCCACAAGATAATACAAACGATGTAAATCGTCGTACAAAACCAAAATCGATTAATAACAACAGAATGAAGGAAATTAAACCTTGTAAAAATAAAAACACAAGAAACCGTCCAATACCAGGTTTTTGCCAATCTAAATAATTATACGTCCAATCAAGACAATTTGTACCACAATTATCTAAATAGAAAGAAAAAACAATCGATAAATTTTGTTTTGCTTAATGTGATGGAGAAAATTACACTTCGATGATAACAACTTATATAAATTGTCAAATGACAACTCATTGAACTAAGAGAATATTCAGTAGATGCTGCTACTGCATATCTGAACACAAGAGTATCGATAATTTATGGAACTGTGGAAAGAGAAATAATCTCGTAGTGTAATTCAAAATTGTATTATGTATAGAAACGTACTTTTACAGCATGGACTCGGTACTTGGTCACAATACTCGAGCAATTTTGGACAGATTTCTAAATATTCATGATTTTCATATATATCGTTCAAAGCTTGTGCTAGACTATAGTTGGGAAATAATATCAAAAATATCCATTCAAGTATTTTTGATACATTAACTAATTCTAATTGAGGAATAGCCAGAATGACAACAGCTAACAGAGTAGCTTGACCTAAAAAATGATAAAACTTAAATTTAATCATAGCCAAGTTTGAATGAAGAACGTACTTGTTATAATATTAATAATCGTAATCCATGCAAATCCAGACGAGGGTATTTGAAATAAGTAAGAAAGTAAATATGTATACGGTATATGAGCCCAACCATAGAATAGAAACAACCATATTGTATAACCCAAACGAGGACCCGTTATATAAACACCAACATCGTCTTTAGCGGCACCTGCTAGGTAGAATATCTGAAGAGAAGAAAACTTAACATGAGGGATAGAACACAGTAAAAACTGGCATATAAATGCGTCTCATTTGGATACGTTCTCATCTGATAATGTTTGGATTAGAATACTTCAGAAAAAAATTTACTCATGGTTAGGGATGTTCGATTCTCGGTTCTCGCGAAGAACTGGAACCGCGATTCGAGTCTGCATGAGGAATCGGAACTGCGGTTCTCTTATTTTCGGTTCTTCATCGGGAATCGGATGTCATAATTTAAAAGAATCCTTTCGTTTACTATAAAATGAATTCTATTTCGTTGAATTGTTACTGTCTGAAAAACTATTTTCGGGTTCTAAGCTGAGAACCGAGAGCTGCTGCGGTTCTGTTCTAAATTCAGAACCAAAACTGCGGTTCTTTTCGTTTCGGTTCTAACTCGAGAACCGAAACCGAGAACCAAACATCCCTACACATGATCTTGCTCAAAAATTTTCGAAAACGTCAGTGCATGGGACCAGAGGCAAAACGATGTCGAAAAAGTTGTACCTCGATCCAAACATTATCGCATACAAGACAATCGACTATGGAGAAGATGAATCTGCAATCGGTTTTAACTAAGCAACCTTTTAAAATTTGTTTATTTGGTGATATGTGTTAATGATGAAGCTGTTCGAAAATATTGTAAGCTAGATTATTTTTGAAGTTAAAATAAAAGAGTATCAGGCACTAAGAATTAATGTTAAACAGTGATGACAGAAACGGCTCAAAAGTTTCAAAATATTTTCAAGAATGAGTGGTGTAATTGAAAATACACCCAAATAAGACGCGCTAAAATAAGATGCATTTAAATGGAAATGCACTCGACTGAAGCCTCGCCCATTTTTACTTACCAGCCATACGAGAAATATACAAATTGTTGGCATCAAGTAATAAACGGCATCCCATATAAACGTTGAAATCCAAAAATTAAGGGCATTTGCTCCACTTAAAAATTGTAAATGTTTTGCTTTTGATACACGCTCTTTAATCAGAAATACAGCAAATGCGGCCATTGCAAAGCCCATTCCAAACACAATAGACGATGATAAACGAAAACCAAAAAATTGTCTTGATTGAAAGTCGATTAGTTTATCAGTCAATGATCGTGGTAATGGATGATTGATAACACTGATAGAAGGTTTATTAGTGTAATTATGAGTTATTGAAAGATAGTATAATAAAGAATTGGTTAACATATTCAACGATAACGGTGGAATGTGAAACGGTTGATTATTGAATAAACCTGTTAAATGCAAACCGGTTTTATTGTTATTAATCGTATAATTATCATATTCATAAATTTTTGCTGCTATTAAATAACGATCTGTTAATACACCAACATTTAATCTTCCAATACATCCAAGATATTTCAATAAATCCATAGGTTGCACATCATGACAATCACCATGAAATTCTTTTGTTAAATCAATTGGTGTCTCTTTTTTAGAATGTAATACGATATTTTTATAGGCATCAGCAAATTGTGTAGATATCGATGAGTTTGTATCATAAATATAAGGTACACGTGCCGGGTTGTATCGATCAGTGGCAATGATCAGCGGTGGTGAATCCTCTGGTTGTGGTATTTGTTGTTCAATAACAAGTGATATGATAACGAATACAACGGGTAAAAATGCTGCAACTAAAACTAAATAATTACGGGCAGAATTCAATATACGTTTCAAAATCAACGCTTTAAGTTGTTGAATCCATAGATTGATGCCACGATTTTTTCTCACTGTAGTCTGGAATGCAGCTGTAAAAAAATAGATAATAATCAATTATGAGAGAATAGTACTAACTGATTTCACAACAAATAATCGATAGATACATACACAAAAAGAAGTAGCTTTCATTTGAACAATACAGTTTTATAACTATATGTTTCACTTTAAATAGAATTATCAATTACAAAACACGGTTTACCCAGTGTGATTAAGAAAAGCCAAAGCAACTAAAGGAAAGCAAATATCAAGAATCATTTTGGAAGAGCGAAATAGATATATTTTTATAAATGAGAGCAGCTAATTTTTTTTTTTTTTATGATTGATTTTTAAATGATAATACACTCAAATGCGTTTTATGTTCTGTTCTTTTTGCCTACGTATTATATCGATGTTATCTATTTTTTCATGAGTTGATTGAATCGTTCTACTGCGCATACTTTGTAAAGCTATGCCATCATCATTTCCGTTACTTGAAACTCTTCCAGTATCATCCTGAAATCCTTCATTATCCAATTGTTGACGTGGCAATCTTGATACTGTGTCATCAACCTCTTCAGTTTCAACTCTAAAAGAAAACAAAATTTTAACATCATCAAACTCTATTATGAGAAGAGTTAAATTTATTATTTTACATTTTCATAAAAACTTCTTCGATTGATGTTTCTGATAATCCAATACTAAATAATTGAAGATAATCTTTTTTTTGTTCAATTTCATGGAATAAATCGGAAAATTTTGTCGATTCTCCATGTGGCAATAATATACTACATTCGGCACTAATATTACTTTCTAATTTAGCTAATGGTACATATTTCTGAACGATTTGAACAATTCGTTCAACATTTGCTTCAACATTTTTAGATAGAATTAAATGATAACCAACGCCTAAAAAAGACAGAATAATGATTACTTAATCTCTTTATAGGCATAGAATATATATTTTTATACCAAATTTTGTTTTTAGAAAAAATGGTGAACCACAACATCTTATTCGTCCATCGCCAATGATCGCAATTCTATCTGATAAAATGTCAGCTTCATCCATGAAATGAGTTGTAAATAATATTGTTCGATCAACACGATAACGTTGTAGCATATCCCATGTTGAACGTCTGGCAGCAGGATCCATTCCTGAATAATAAAAAAAAAAAGAGAAAATCAAAATCAATTTATAGTAACAATAGACAATCGTATACCGCTTGTTGGTTCATCCAAAATAACGATCTACAATAACAGAACAAAATTATTATTACCATTTTTAATGATAATAGAATTTGTAACATACTTTAGAATTAGCAACTAATGCAATACCGACGCTTAATTTTCGTTTCATACCTAATTGAAAATTAACAGAAACAAATTAGATGTGAAATATAAATGATCTTTGTAGACATACCGCCAGATAATGATTTTGAAAGTGTATTTAATTTATCTTCTAAATTAAGATCTTTAACCATTCTTTGTATTTCATTTTCAATATCATTTGATGGATGTCCTTTTAGCTTAAAAAAATTTATTCGTTGTATTTTTGTTTTATAATACGCTAGAAATTATAAATCTTACAGTTGCAAATAGTTTTAGATGTTCTTTAACTGTCAAATGATCAAATAATATATTATATTGTGGACATAAACCCAAATTATCACGGATTTTATCAATCGACGTGGAAATATCAAAACCATTAACAATAATCTGACCACTAGAAGGAGGTATTAAACCTAAAAATTCAGTCTGATTAGTGTACGAACAATTTTTAGATATAAAACGCCAATTAGATATGCAAGAAACCAAATTAATGAGATGTACATGTACCTTATGTTATGGAGCATAGTCTAAGACATATGGTCTTCTCAACGAATGATTTTAATTATTAAACTCTAACAAAAAGTAGGACTAGTTACAACCGAGCTCTTATGAGAATTTTAAATGTTTGTTATATATCGCTTAGTTATATTGTAAATAACTACTATCAATTTCAAAATATAATGCACTCCATTGTTCTTTCAATAACTTTTGACAGAAAATAGCTGGAGAACTACGATTGTCAGTTTTAGAGAGTAGAATCTGGGGGCTATCCGTTTATGGGAAAATAAATTTAGAAATACCTCCTGCAGATGGTAAGCTTCTTCAAAACTTTTTGCAGAAACCTTCTCACCATTGAAGAAGTTTGGGATTTTTGATTCTAAATAGTAGAATGGAGAACTTGAATGTTCACCTACAATTCTCGACAAGACCCAGGCTTTCATCTCTTATGATCCGCGAGGTAGAGACGTTCTCCGTAGATCGTGTTATCGCCAAATCTGGAGATTTGGGAATCTCAAAAACACTCAAGACACAGGTAATGAGCTATGCTGGCCATCACGGCATTATTTATTTTCACCTTCAGATTGATTCAGCTGACCCGTTTTTTCAAAAACTCCGGTTTTTGCCTGTAGCCATGTAAGCTTCAAATTCGCATAACTCACTCATTTCTCATCCGAAATGACTGTAACCTTCGGAAAATATTCAACATTAGTTGAAGATTATAGACCATGACGAAAAACTTGAGTATGATTCACTAAAGAATCATTGGATTTTCAGAGATCTTCGAAAAATCCTCTGGGCTAAACATTTGTATGCGAGATTTACTGATCATTTTGCTAGATTGCCCGAGTAAAACTACCCATTTGATGAAAATTTCGCTCATTTCGGATGAGAAATGAGTGAGTTATGCGAATTTGAAGTTTACATAGCTACAGGCAAAAACCGGAGTTTTGGAAAAACAAGCCAGCTGAGGTTCCTTCGATCTGAAGATTCGATTTGAAATGGATAGTAATTGCTAAAGTAGCATTGGTCTAGCAAATCGGTGTCATGAAAGCTCGATTGCTGACTGAAATGTGTTTGTACTATCAATATTTGCTTACTAAATTTCTAATAACTACACAAATTATCTGCGCTCATTGACATAGAAAAGCCCTGTTACTTCCAAAACCCAATAAACGAACGAGAAGACATTTCCAGGTGTTCAATGGAGTTTTTTTGTGAAAGACATCCAATTAGAGATTCTTTTGGAGTCTGATGACGAATCTGATATCTGTTTCTTCTGTAGACCGGTCCAGTGTTGTCCTGTAGAAATTAGGTCTCTGGAGATCATTTTGAAACTTCACGTGAAAAAATTCTGATATGACCAGTTTGTTGAATAAGTCAAGTTTTCTATGAAATAAATATTTAAATCTATCAATCAAAACAAAAATGTTGCTTCCAGTATTTGGTGAATCTCAGACATTTGAGGGCTTCTTTTGTAATAAAATTCGTTCTTTCGCTGAGTACTTGATCGGTACGTTTAAATATTTATTCCACGGGAAACTCGACTTGTTCAGCAAACTGGCCATATAAGAATCTTTCCACGCGACTCTAGAGATCTGGTTTTTACAGGACAACACTTGACCGCTATACGTAAGAAACAGATATCAGATTCGTCGTCAGACTCCGAAAGAATCTCTAATTGGATGTCTTTCACAAAACTTCCATCAGACACTTGAAAATGTCTCCCTTCTTCGTTTTTCCTTACTATAAAAATATACGATCCATTATACCTGTGATCATTGAAATAGTAGTCGATTTTCCGGCTCCATTGTGACCTAACAGAGCAGTTAATTGACCATTATAAATATTCATGCTTACATTGCGTACGGCATGAACTGGCGGTTTCGTTTTCAGAAAAAATGTGTATACCTTCAAAAAAACAAAAAACATTTTTTTCATTTGAATTGTGTCAAAATTGTTACACTACCTTTGATACGTTAATAAGTCGAATACCAAGTTCTCTATCATTTGATTCATCTTCAAACGCATTTTTTTCTTGAGAAGAAAACAAGTCATTAGCAGAATCAACTACAACATTTTTCGCTATTGTTTGAGAATGTCCTCGCCAAAAGCTTAGCGTAAAGGGAAAATACCATTTTCTAAATGAAAGTAAAATGAGTTGTTTTTTTTTAATTGAGATAACACACTCACTTTGGGATGCCATACTGTCCTGGCCAAATTTTTTCGATATACAGTGCTAATATGAGATAAATCAATGCATCTACGTACAACATAATAATAACGTCTAGCATTGTAAAATTATCATCGACAGAAAACCGTTCATTGATCATCGACCATTGCAAACCAGTACCTGAACACGTTGTGAAACATGACAGTAAGTAATGAAAAATCGAAAAAATATACCAGACATACATACCTTTTCCTTCAAACTGTCCGATTAGCTGTGCACCGAGAGCTAAACCAAGATTGTGTAAAAGACACGAAGCCATTTTTGATGCTCTTGTCATTGTTTCATAACGTGGTTGTATAAATGCATAGGGTAAATATGACATAAACCAAAGCCCTCCAGTTCCTGCAGCAGCCGAGTTAGCTATCAAAGAAAACAACAGAAGTATGACTTTTAATTGATATTTGAACGACTATACGATCTGTTTATATGTGTATTCAGACGATTTTATCTAATCTAATTCTAACAGTAAAGAAAGCTGAGTTTATTCTAATATCGTAAGGGTACAAATAAATGTTGTAGCTAATACTAAGAAATGACTATAAGTTAATGTAAATCTGACTGAGAATAAGAGTGCAGAGCTTTCTTATCTAATTACGAAACAATGTATTGAGATATTTACCTTTGTCAAATAAAGTACTAATTAAAAACATGAAACAAATTGATGTGATTGAATATGTAAATAAGAAGAAAAATAGTAGTGTAGCACTTGTTTGCCCAATCACTGAACTCTTGCCGCCACTTGATAGCGGTACTTGTACAATATAACATACACTGATAAGTATATCAGCTATTGTTAAAAACACAATACTTCGGGTGAACCATGCAAGCTAAAAATATGAAAATTATTCAATTGTACGTACATAATACTAATGATTACTGTATTTTACCCAATGAATCCAACCATTCAAACCCATGATTTTCATCGCTTCCTAATAGAAAGAAAATTTTTTAAAACTGTTATAACGATAATGCATAACATCTTACTTTGAGTCCTTTTTCTTTCTCGTACACAATATTTTTCACGGTATTTATGGCGGAAAAAATATAACTCATAATTAACAAAAATGGAAACCATATTTGAACAACTAGGACAAAATTATCAGATTTATATGGAGGATAAGGAAATCTCTGTAATTCTAAATTTATTCCATCGAGATCAAATAATGTACTTCTTTCATTAATTATGGCAAAATCAATCGAACGTTGTAATGCCAGAAAACCTGACAATAGATTAGAAAATATTTACAAAATAACACGTTTATTTTTTGGATCATACCTTCTCGATAATATCCTGAAAAAATAGAGATGAAATTTAATCATAATCAAAGCAAGAAATAAAGATTTCTGACCTGGAACGCCTCCTGTTGAAACGTTTTTCTCTCTTGGACCAATTATTGGAAATAGCGTAAACAACACATTCGTTTTCCAATCAGAGTCACCTCCAAATATATTTCTAAAAAATAGCAAATTGTATCAACACCCACAGAATCTTTTTTTCCTATTTATTGCATTATAATGCGTTAGGCATATCATAATGCCTTGTAATGTGTTAAGTTTCAATTGTGTTACAACGCGATGACTTTAGAAAAAACATATCTTTAATGCATTGTAACGCATTAGCGTAACGTGTTACGTAGAAAAAACTGCCAAAAAATCGAAATTATAGTGTTATAATGCATTTTTATCAACGGCTTTCTCATATTTTATAATCTTACAACGCTATAAATTCAACTGACACGTTAATATTTTGTATACCGTTATAAGGCGTTACTCAATTCCTGTCGCATTAAAACGCATTAACATATAATGCATTGCAGCACGTTACAGGTTAGTGTATTATACCGCTCTAAGATCTAACACATTATAACGTTATAAATTTCATGGTATTACAATGCATTATGGGTTCCTCCCCCCGCCCCGTCTTTTTTGCAAGAGTTTCCCAGAAAACCCACAGAAGAACATCTCAGAAAATTTTGGGCAAAAATACATCGATTTTCTTTTTCGATGCTCTATCTCTGGTATAAATTTGAGCTCAATCGGATGTGTGCTCCGCATTTGGCAACAAGTTGATAAAAGAGGGGGAAGGCACCCTTAACTATTTAGGCGTTGTAAAGCCATACGTGGGACTTGATGTTCTAAGACTTAGGACATGTTAGTGACTTGCTTGATAAAGTCACTAACGTATATGTCTGATATAGTTGAACTAATCTTTCCCAGACCAACTTTTCGAGAGGAATCAATTGGCAGTCTCAGAATTTTATGGAAATGTGTCTTTTACGAGAAAACCATGTATTTTCGTTTTGAATATTGTCTAACTCGTTATAACGCTAATGTGTTACACCGCGTTCCATTTTCTTATCTCACTGCATTTAGATAGAAAAGAATAATGCATTGTAATCTATCGGATATTAACTCGTTACAATGCGATATGCATTATCTAATGAGTTATAACGATATAAAAGATTTTTTCAAATTTACGGCGTTATAATTAGATAAGACATCTAAGGTATTATAACGCATTAATTTCTAACGCATTATATTGAAGTAGAAAACTCAAACGCGTTATAATACATTAGAATCTAATGTATTATAAGGTGCTAGACAAATCTAATTGCGCTGTAACAAGATAAAAAACTGAAATGCATTAAAATGCTATAAATTTATAGCGTTGTAATGCAATGGACATTTTCATCCAGTTACAAAGCCATAAATTCCTGAAAAATAAGTTTGCAACGCGTTATAACACGACAGGCTATGTTTATCGCGTTGTAACGAGGTAAAATTATAGCGTTGTAATACTATAATTTAAGAAAAAGCATGTTTTATAATGTTATAACGCTATAAATAGGCATAAAAAGATCCTGTGGGCACTCAAAAAAGGATAAATTATAAGAAAAAAATCCTGTTGTCCCTCGGTACCAATCCCTTCTTTTCTGACAAACGTTTTTATTTAAATTGAACATAGTCTAATGTAGAGAAAAGTCTGAGCTACAAAATAAGACCACTCCCAGCGTTTGACGACTTTTTTTGCAAAGATTATGAATTTTTTTTAAGCGTTCTTCTACTCAAAAATCTAAAAAAACGTCAATTTTTGTAATTTTCTGAATTTTTTTTGTTCCAGCGCCTTCAAAATTTTTTCTCCAACATAGTCTGATAGGACAAAGTATTCTCCCCATAACGAGACCACTTCCGAAAATTTTCAATGGTTTTTCGTGAAGATATGAGTATCGGCGCAAACGCCCTTTAAAAAAGCGACTAGTTTAATGTCACCTTTAATGCGGAAAATACTGGTGCTTCTAATCGAATTACATTACGACCCCTAAGAAAATGATTCAATCAGGTCCGAGTTTTTATCACAAATACTTCAAATCAAAAAAATACTTTTTACAGAGGATTTTCAGCATATTTGAAATGTCTCGAGAAGGAAAACATATTTTTCCAAAAAGAAAATTAGAATCTGAGATACCATCTGAAAATGTTTGTGATAAAAATTCGAACTATAAAAGACTAGACCTTCTTTTCTCTCACTTTTCCTAAGAAGGAAAAAAAAGGGGATACTCTTATTCTTAACAAGTAGAAGCACGAGAAAAGAAAATAGCAAACCAACGTTAATTGTCCAGAATTTTTCGGTTTTGCGGACAAACGAATTTTATAAGTAACATCATAATGTGTATCATTTGGCAATGTTGTAAAAACAATACCACCTAATGTTGTTAATGAATCTCGAATATTGTAAACCAGATCATCTTCGGTGTCGTATGCTTCTCCTAAATATAATAAATAGTATAAAAATAAATCAGATTTACTTATGTAATTATTGAGTACAACACCTTCTAATTTTAATTCTTCAGCAACTCTATTGGCAATTATTGTTGTGAAATTTGTTTTTGGTGTATAGGCAAATGTACTCTGTGGTAATCCAGTAAAATTTGGTAATTCATTAATAGAAAATGGTGGATAGACAGTATCATGAATAATAGAATCAGATTTTACAACACGTCGAATGCCAAGTAATAATAAAGCAAAAAAGATCGGCAAGGTTATTTCAAAAAATGTTCGTATAGGCATTCGAGCTGATAATATGAGATTTTTCCATAGTAATAATAAATAGTGTCGACCATTACGTCGTCGACCCATATCTTAAAACAATAAATACAGATTATTAAATTAGATTGATTTCAAAGCAGAGTAAATTAAATGTTTTACAATCTGTCCTCTCTTGGGAAGTTTTTCTTTCTTAAAAATCAAGATTTTTACATTCAAGATCTTATTCAAATTTGTATGGGAGAGAAAAATGGTAAAACATCAAGAACTGCAAAGATCTAGATATAAATAATCAACAAGGTTTCAATTAGTCAAAATCTTGGTTACATAAATAAATGATTCAGTCCTAATTCATCGACACGTTAATTCATTTTCTTGATTCGTCGACAATTTATAGTGTCGGCGACTCACAGATATTTTTTATCTCCCCGCTCAAAATGTTGTCGACGAGTCAGGAAAAAAGTTAATATGTTGATGAATCAGGAATACACCATATAATTTCATCAGGATGCTTAAAAATAAAATGCTTAAGAGAAAAATAGTGTTTTTAAATACAGATAATAACAAAAGTTTTAGTATTTTTACACATTTGATAATCTTTGTTCTTCCATTTGCATCTATCTTATAAATTACCTAAGCTAAAATCTTTTTTCATTCTTTGTTTTGAAAAATATAAAAAATACTCATGACTCATTATACCAAGAAAAAGTTTAAAGTTTATGGTCTCGTTCACACGAATCTCTTTATAAATTGTTTTTTATACGAGCAGACAGTTCTCTAAGATTATCGGGTTGCTTCTATGTCAAAAACAGTATGGGATACATTTAAAAAATGCTTGTAAACGTTATAATTATTGCCAAATTTCATACATTGTTACATGAATTATAGAATTACACGTTGAAAAAACTGACTTGTATCCGATCTAGTAGTTAGATTAAATTGAAGAAAATATTCAGTCAGACTAAAAAAATGAAAATGATTTCTTTGCATTCTCTTTCTCAAATTATAATCAGATCCTAAAACAGTAATTGAAATTTTAAAAGAAATTATTTTTAAACTCACATTTCTTATGTGATTCATCGACGAAAACTTTCACCATGCTAAATAATATTTTCCGACAGATGTGTGAAACTTATTCAATTACATACAATTATTTTATCTATGAGTATTTGACATCAGTTATTATTATTTTTACAGTTTTACTGAAAAAATTCATCTATATATATTTGTCAATCTTGTTTTATTTGTCAAATCGTTCTCTTTCCCTATGTTTGAACAGTGTCAAGATAACAATTTTAATAAGACAATGAATATTCGAAATACAAATGTCAACAACATTAAATGGTGACAGTATGGTAGGTGTGCAAATAGGAAATAAATATATCCTAATCATAAATTATGCATTATTTTCTCATAATGTAGACTAATAAAAGAAATGATGGTATTATTTCTATATTCAGAAAAATGCCTATTTTAAGTTCTAGTGAAATCATCTTAAATGATTCTTTAAAAACTAAACTTCTCTAAAAAGGTCGAATGTGCAAACTTTCATGCAAGAGTCTTTCCTTAACATCAAGTTGTATTGTTAAAACTATCATTCATTTTAACTTAAATTTAATCATACATCGTCTTTTTTCTTCCATAATTCATTCTCTTTTAGATAGAAGGAAAATGAAAAATTATCGTTCATCTGTTTGCTGACGTGATTCTTTTATTTACAAACACTATAACAAGAACAAAAAAAAATACAGGATCCCACAGCATTTCAATCAAACATGTAACAAAAAAAAAAATAATAAAATTTTTCTAGGATGAATTACAGTCAAAATACGAATAATTAACTAAGTCTTTTTTGGTTTTGGTTTCATTTCATCAAAACATGATCGAAAATAGATCATATTTTTCTTTTGTTGGCTGTTTCCTTCATGTCCTTTATGCCTGTAAAAAGGAGAAAAAACAATTATAAAACTTGTACATGAAACAGAGAGATACGTACCAATCATAACTGCTCGCATAAGCAAACACTTGTCCTCTTGAATCAAATGCACAACATGTAATCGATTGATCATTAATTGTATCTGATGTTTTCAATTTTGTACGATCATCTTTATCCCAAAAACTATATTTTCCATCGGATCCAACTGTAGCTAATGTACCATGAATAGGATGGAATGCAATATCATTAACAGCATAAATATCTTGTACATTGTTGGTTGATGGATTTGAACGATGACATTTGAATGTAAAATTATCATTTGGATTAGTTGTATCAACGTACATAATTGCTACACGTCCTTCAATACTACCGATGGCAAACCCATTTGGATTACGATTTTTATCCGTAAATATTGATACACAACGATGTTGATACTTTAATAAGGTTTCAATTTTTTTATATTCTGTTGGTTGATTATCCAAGCTGTAGACATGAATACTACGATCGGCTGTGGTAATAACAGCCATTGGTCCAAATACATCAGCGGCATAAACACGTTCATTTAACTGAATCTGTTTTAATGGTGTTGACTGTCTTGTATCCCAAAATCGAACTAAAAAGAGAAGAAACTAAACGAAACATCCTTCTCATAGTGGGCAATCATGCGGACATAAGAAAGAAAAATGAAAATAAGCTTTTTCGAGATTTGAATAGTGTTAAATATACTTTAATTAACCGCCGATGTAATGGCGAAAAAATTTGTTTCAACTGTTAAGGTCGTCGAGAAAACCTAGATATAAAAATCGGTCAGATTTTAGCGACTTTGTCGAAAAACAGCATCTGTGGAAGGGTAGAGAAGGTGGTAAGGAATAAATCATTCTGAAAGTAGAGGTCTGGCACTACCGGTACGTAAAAAATAGCCTTTTTTTCGATACTTTTCTGTCCAAAAAAAATCAACGTTCTTTTTCCGCTAAATGTTTTCCGAAAAGACGTCCTCAGTACAGTGAGTTTCCTAACTTTTCCTAAACCCCAAATCTGATGAAATTTTCAGAGAATTCTCTTCCCACTTATGATACACGTACATGGTTAGCAGAAATTAACATTAATGATCCTGGACTGACTTATAGCTTTTCCAAAAACCTTTGGTTTTCGAGGTAAGATCTATTTTTTTTCAGCTCAGAAACATGTTTTTTTGAAAAATAATTTAATATTTGGAATCAGCGCAAAAAAGCTGCATCAAATGATGTGTAATTTGTAAGTTTTTCTGCACAAAATTTTTCGATCTAACGAAATCCTAGATCTGAAGCATTACCGCGGCAAATTATGACTAGACGTTTTGATATTTATTTTAGCAGCCATGCAAAAGCCTACAAATACTGTTTTTATAAATTTTTAGATATGCTCTTTTCAATCGTGTGGTTTATAAAGCTCAAAAGTATTTTTATATAGCTTCTCTAGAGATCCGTATCTCTAGAAAACGCATAAAATACATTTTTGAACTTTGTAAACCACACGATTGAAAAGAGCATATCTAAAAATTTATAAAAACAGTATTTGTAGGCTTTCGCACTACTTCTATAGCATACATCCACGTGCCTAGCCAAAGTTGACCATTATATATTCTTTCAAAGTAGTCGGAGATTTGTCCGTCTCGACATCATAAAATTGATAGATAATTTATTGTCCGTCATGTATATCGACTTTGATCAAAGTGAATAGTGCGACACATATTCTTTACGATGTTCGGTGTATAAGATATGTTGAAAAAAATGAATAAATAGCTCTGCTCTTAAACGTCTGTTATCCATCATATAAATTATATGTCGAAGAATATAATAATGCATACCTGTTTTATCCCAACTGCCGGTCATAACACAATTGTACGTTGGTCGTTGTATGTAATGAATTGTACGAATTGGTTGATCATGTTGTGCTATTTGTGTAAATGAGTTGGATTGTAAATCCCACATCTTTGCTGTTCGATCACAACTAGCTGTGAATACTTTTGAGCCATCATCCGACCAACAACAACTAAGAATGGGAGCATCATGTTTTTGCATGGCTTTTGGAACAGATTGTCCGTTTTGTTGTAATTCCCAACACCTGATATCATTTGCCCAACTACTAGCGATTAAATATGTTTGTGGAATTGTGGATGGTGAAAATTTCATACATGATATTGAATCTTCTGGCGGATAAGCAAGTTCAAAATCTTTTTGTTGAACTGTTGTTGGTGTCGATGTGCCAAAAGTTGTGCCTGTAAGCATTGTTACAAAAACTTTCAACAAATAAGATAGGAAAATCTGAAATTATAAAAGAATAAGATGGCCACTGACGTTGGAAAAACGAGATTCTGTGTTACAAACGTTTACAAAGTGATAATATAGTAGAGTCCGAATTCATAGCTGTCCCTTTCCTCTTAAATCACAAATTACTCGACAGTTTTAGATGTTAGTAAATAAAAGAAACCAAGACCTTCTAATTGATGTATGTAGCATACATGTCATCATTAAAAAACAGTTAAAAATGTATGAGGTTTTAATGAAACAGAAAAAGCAATAAAAAGCGTTGAAAGGTACAAAAAAACAGAAAATCTACTAAACACATTAGGTTGATGAAGAAAGATGTTTTAATTTTGGAAATTTTCTTAACCATAATTTCCATACGAGCAAATGATTTCGTACATGTGCTTGTTTATTGGATAAGTCAAAGTCAATTTCTTTAATACGTCGTAAATAGTCATGAAGAGCTATTAGTGGTAAAAAAATTGTCTGTTCATCATTTGAGAAGACAAATAGTTTCTTTTTACAAAATGTTTTATCGTTTTCAAATAAGTCGATAGCTTTTTTCATATGATAATAGGCACGAGTACACATATCAAATATTACTAGTCGTACATGTTCATTGGAAAAATTTAGATTGAAAATATCTTGTTGAGATATATTATGTTGAATTAAATAGGATAATGGAATAAAACAACGTCTTTTCACAGCATTGTAAGGTATGCCTCGAACAATATTTACAATACCTTGTGCTCGTCCTAAAACAAACAAAAACTAATCGTAAAAGTAGATTCATGCACTTAAAAAGAATGATTTAGAAGTGTCTGATTAATATTTTCAACATTACCTAAATGACTAGCAATATGATCTGAGTTTAGTGTTCGTTGACCATACAATTCGAGTAGAAGATAATATATTGGAGTGACTGATTGTTCAATATAGGCTTCTAATTTATCCATATTATCAAATGGCATATCGTTCAATGTTGTTTCTCTACTAGTTATTAATCGTTGAAACCAAAGTTTCGATAAACGATTCGAATTTTCTATTATCACAGATGTTAATTCACGCGCAACAGGATTATTAATTATTTTCGGTGTTGTTGCTGTTATTAAACTAAAACAATCGTCCACAGTATCACGCCAAAATTGTAAACGCATACGTCCGATTTGTTGATCTGAAACATTATCACGTATTTGTGCTAATTCAACATTGAATGCTCGTATAGCAATTGCAGAACGTTGTTTCTGTATAGGTTTTAATAAACCGACGCATAAAAAATTTTCATAATCATATTTACGAACAGAATTTATACAATAGGAATAGTCGTCAGTGTTGGACGAGGATACAGATGATCGTGATGAAATACCTCGATAACCGAATGATAGACAATTGTACACATGTTTTGATTTAAAAAACATCAAATCTAAAATAATATTAAAATAAAAGAGGCAGTATCTATTCTCAAATTCTTTTGCAAAGAAATAAAATTATGTATTTTCTAATAGTAGACGAATATAATTTGTTCTTATGATTGTTCTTATTATTTCGAAACCTTCTTTCTGCATCAGAATGGAAGCAAGAACAAATCTTATTACATCATTTCAGTCTTAAATTAGCAAACACAAAATCAATTAGTATTCTATCGTAGAGTATAAACAATTAAAAACATAACTAGCAAGAAGAAATATGGCACTCTATATTTTGCCTCATTTTATTGTCACAAACAAATTTTTAAAAATAAATTATCTTGTTCTTAGTAACATGCTGTTGTGTTTTCTATATGAATAGACAGAAAATAGAAATTTATCTCTTAGAGGATAAAGAAACACAAACACACGCCTAAAAAACTTAACGTATGAAGGTGGTTTGTATATCAAAGCTATCAGAAGTAGAAAAACAACAACAGTAAACAGAAAGGGAGAGAAAATGTTTTTTGTTAAAAATAAATAGATACAGGCAGAGAACAGAGGCATGTTTACACATAAAACAGTTAGTGAATATATATAAAAGGAATGTGTGATGGAAAAGATAGAGAGAGAGAACAATCTAATAGAAAAGATCAACAGACAAGTCACACACATCGCAACACGGAAACAAAGACTCCTTCCATAGCCGATATTTCTTCATTTGAGATTACAAACCTGGAATGATCATTATCAGGTTATGTTACTCCAGTCTTATAACAAAAGATAATTACAAATATAAATAAACATACACGAAAAGAGTTGAACAAACGACATATAAATAAAAGAAAGCAAACAAAAACAAGATCTCACACACAACTGCTTGGATTGGGATTTTTGACTTCTATTAACATTGAAACGGGTATATCGCATTGACTAACGCCAGCACCTAGATAAAAAGGAAGCAGAAATAAATCTTTTGAGCTTCATTAAACAGAAAACTAAGATAAATCCTACCTGCTCGACAAATGTTTATACCAGCCACCGGAGACCACCTATATAAAAGTTAAAAGAATTAACTAATACACTGCTATAATTTAAATCCTAGAGCTTTTCAGATTTCTTCAGGTGTTTAGAACGATCGACAAAATCTCTTGCGTTCTTAAATTAGCTGACTTCCTTACAAAATTTCAAAAAACTTACTGTTGTGTTTCCGGATCGTATGCTTCAACAGTTTTCAAATACGTCTGCCCATCGTGACCGCCAACTGAATAAATATTTCCAGCTAGGGTAGCGGATCCCACGCCTCCTCGGCAAGATGTCATTGGTGTTACCATAGTCCACGTATTTGTATCTGGCTCAAAACACTCAACTGAGTCTAATGGTGAGTTATCGTCAAATCCGCCTGATAATACAAAACAAAATCTACATATTTCAAATCATGTGGAAATAAACAAATGCGTACCAAGAATATACAATTTATTATTTAAAACTGTTACAGATGCGCCTGCTCGTCGTTTGTTCATCGGTGCGATTGGCGTCCATTTATCATAGGCTGGACAATAACGCTCACAAGAATTTAGAGATGAAGAACCATCGTTCCCACCACAAGCATATAAATAACCCTACAAAAAAGGATTGAGCATATGCATGGATCAATAGCTCCAGATTAGATTCAGGACACATACCTTTAATGCCGCAACGGCTACTCCCCCACGTGCTGTTGACATCGACGCTACTGTACTCCAGGAATTATTTTCAACATCATAACGTTCAACTGTGTCAAAACATGTCGAATCGTCTAATCCACCAACAGCAAATAAGGGCCCTCCCAGACAACCCACAGCGATTCCTCGTCTATTATTATAGAAAAGACCGTTCTCTAATAATCATTCAAAAGGAAGCAGAAAATCAGTACCTCCAAGTTGCCATTGGTGATAATTGTTGCCATCTATTTGTCTGCGGATCAAATGCTTCCGCGCTGTTTAAATGCAAATTTCCATCGTGTCCTCCGATTGCATAAACACGCCCAGCAACTGCACAAACACCAACATGGCGTCGACGAATTGTCATATCAGCAATATAAAACCATCGGTCATGACGAAGATCATAACATTCAATCTAAGAAAGAAAATAAATCTTATTTGGTGACGTCAAAAGTCTTTTAAAAGTCAGCAATTGACCTGATCATCCTTTAGCTGTAAGACTTAACAAATATTAAGAGATTTTTCAACAAACATATCTCTCTAAGGAAAAAAAATCGATTATAATTTACTCACCGATTTAAAGGGATCGCCTGTTGCTCCACGTCCGCCGACGCACAAAAGGACACCTATACAACAAATTAAACTAAAGAGTAAAACTGAAAAACTCTATTTCTTAGTTTTGATTCGACTTGCCTGCTGCAGTTTTTCTTGGCGTCACTTTTGGTCCTGTAGTTGACGATGTGGTAACAAGATTGGCTTTTTTAAATATGTGAAATTTGGCTTCATCTAATAAATCACGACAGGTAAAATTGTGTCGTATCAAGTCTTCTTGAGAAATTGCAGTCAAAAGGTAATCAGGACTGATCAATGGCAATTTTACTTCTTTGAGTAGTTCTAAGAAAAAGAAATCAGAAAATATAAGAAATGTCTTAGTAAAAAAGAAATAATGATTAGTCACCATCTTTACACGATTTAATTCTACAATTTTAGTTCCTTTTCTGAAGTGTACTGTCACGTATTTTAAAGTTGAATTGAACTGATTTGTTCCAACTCAGATGTTGAACATCAGGATAACAGAGAATAAGCAAAAATTATTTGCTTACATTAGAGAACTATCACGAAAAAAAGTAGTAGATAAATAAGAGCTCAGAGAAAGAAACGAGGAGGGAAAACAGAAGAGAAAAGAGCACAGTCGAAGAGCAACTAGATTAAGCAAAAGTGTATATCTACACATACAGAAAGAAATGAGAAATACAATATGATTTTTTAGAAATTTAAAAATATTTAAATTGAGTGTGTTTGCAATAGAAGGAGGAAGTGTTCCCATATTGCGAGATAAGGGAGATAAATGCTGAGAAGGATTTTGTAGTGAATTTAGTCATCTCCACTCTTCTATTGTGCCCTAATCGCGATGATTGTCTTGTTTGGCTGATGTAACTAAATTTAGACTAGAAAGCGGATTTGCGCAGCCCAGTATCCCATCAAACGAAAAATTAATGCTACCTGCTAAATGTGCAGCTCTTTCTTTCGGTTGATATTTAACCCATTTGATAACGGCTTCATAAACATCCTTCTCATCTATGACGCCAAGATCTGGAGACGATATAAGATCCTGTAAGGTAAATGAATGATTTATTTAAAAAGAAGCAGACAATATACATGCAACGTACTTTTAAATGTCGAAACGTTAACCTAAAATAAAGATTGAAATTCATCATTTTGAATAAAATTAGCTATACGGAGTTAGTACATACTTGTGAAAATCATCTATTTGAACAATATCTAAAAAATGATCACGCATAAACTCATCCGCTAAAACGATTAACGATTTCCGATTTAGCAGTTCAGCAAATTGTCGTATTTCCGTACAATTTGTTAACGATAAATGTTGACGTAAAAAACTTGAACATGCTTCAGCTAAATCTTCGACTTGTAAAATAGTTGATGCAAATAATAAATTTTGTACAGTGTCTATACTAATAACGGCTTTAGCTGTATAAGCAAATTCGATAATAATAGCCAACGCATTTGGATTGATATCACGAATTTCTACACGTTGCTGATCAGCTTCTAACATTCCTAATGTAAACATTGAACGAAAATAGGGTATTGTGGCAGCCAAAATAACTTTGTGACAGGAAAATGAACGTTCTTCGCAGACAATTACCACATCACACAACGTCTTTGATTGGTAAAATTCAAATAGAGTACTAAAGGCCGAACTAAAACCAAGTATTATAAAAGATATTAAACATGCATAGAGATGAGAGATTAAAAAGTCTAATAAATACTTGTGATTTATAGATGAAACTTCAAATATAGATGATTGTTGATCATCAACTTCCATACACTGTTGTTGACGAACAGGTTCTAAGAAAAGGAAATACATATCGTGAGAAACATTATCTTTTATACCAGAACACAGATGTGCATACCAGTTTTTATACTCGTTTGTCGTTGCTGTAATAACCGATTAGCTGGCACAAAATCTGAATCACTTTCTTCATTTTTTGATGGTGCAAGCGAAGATAAGAGATCTATGCTACCGTTATTCGGCGTCGCATCACTAGATGATGAAGACATATTTTTTGTTCTAAGCAAGAACAATTGAAAAGTCTAAAACAAATAAATATAGTATCGATCTCGTATTGACCCATACAAAAACTTCATTCTATTCCATAGTATCCAGTTATCTAGAAAATGGGTGAAAAACTCGCAATTTATCAACTAATAGTGGGCCAAAATTTAATATCAGGCTTAAAGAAACACAGTAACACTCATAATATAAATGATCCAATACAAGAACAGACTAGACGCCAACTGTTTCTCTAGTTTATGTATATATTTATATGGTATAATAGTGGACCAAAAGCTAGAGTCTAGAGATAATAGAGAAAAAAAGCAAATTAAGTGGGTGTTTAGTGTATACAGAAGTATAGACTGATAAGTAACATGTGACTGCTTAGTGAGTCACTCACTGTATACTGTTCATACTGAATGTATATGAAATATTACGTGACCATTAACTATCGTATAATAAAAACGGCAAAGTTCTTGAATATATCCTCATATTTTAGAGATCATATGGTAAGCGAATTAAAAGATATATCGAAAAACTAATTCCAGATGTGTCATCTATAACTCTTAGCCTTTCTATTGATCTTTGTCCTAAATCTCTATAATTAGAAATAACTGAACTAGTAGCTCACTCAAGGAAAAAAAGCGTATGGAAAGACAAAGAATTTATAATGGTGAAACAGAATAATCCAACTTGAATTTCATCCAGTCAGCTTAAAATGGGAAAGTATGACTCAGGTAATGACTCACAACATTATTTAATTAGCTACAAAAGCGCAGAGATAGAGGACGCTCAAAAACCTGTTCGGTTTTGACATTCAAACTAAGTAGTCCATCAACTGTTCCATAGAAATTATAAGTGGAAAATCTAATCGTTGTAGTGAACTGTCTCGGCTGAGTATATCAGAAATGATTTTGAATAAGACTCTTTACTTTTCAATGGCTATTTCATTTTATAGCTTTATTAATAAGACTATCCTTCGTCTCACAGCCTCATTTCACCGTATCATCACAAAAACCGCATTGTTTGGGCAAAACGCTAAAAAGATGTCGCTATCAGTTTTTTTCATATAGTACTTGAAGGATTAGAAATTCATTTTTACTACTACTTTTTATTATTTAGGTGAAAAAGCGATAAAAAGATCATAAAAAAGCGACAGGCTCAGCATTTTTTCTATTTAATTATAGTTCTAGGATTAACCATATGAGTCTTGCGAAATCCAATAATGAAATCCATTCAATCATGCAGAAACATAAAAAATCATCAGTACAGCAGTAAACAAAAGTAGAATCAGTAGGTAATTTTACAACGTGAGTGTAGCATAAGGTTTTTATTTCTCGATGTTTTAATCCTGTCTGTTATCAAATGGCAATATTTGGACTTCAAATCGTATTATCATTAATTGTATTTTGTATCTTGACGAAATTGACAAAGTATTATTCAATTGGAAGGTGGTTATTATGTAAAGGTTTATATCGATACTGGCCACCTACAAATGATGAATTTAAAACAGCGATTAAACAACGATATAAAGAACCTGGTGAGTTCTTTTATACATAATTAGATAAATAAATCCTACAATCAGATTCCACCTGATTGTGAAAAGTAATGTATAATTAGATACAATCTAATAAAAAATGGTAGACAATCCTAGTATCGGAAACTGCACATGATTTTCTACCATAGAATCTCGTAGGACATTATAGGATTTTTTATACTAGAACTATATAGGACTTTTGGTTTGATAGTTGGAAGAGACCAGCAATTTTAAGGTGTTTTTACTAAAGAACTAAAAAGGCGTAAATCGCTCAACATTGGTTTAATTTTATGTACTTCACGATTACATTACGAAATGAGAACTTATCTTAATAGATTTTTCTGTCAACCACATTTATAAGGTATTATTTTTACCAACTCTGAAATTTTCAAGTCGCCTGGGTCAATTTTGGATAATTTCTATTTTTGTATTTTTTAGTAAAATGAGTCTAAGTTGGTTCGTTTCACCAGCATAGCTTTTAGAATTTGTTCTTTAAAAATAAACATTGCTACGAGATCTATCCATAATCTATATTGGATCCATTTTTACTGGTATCGAAAGTTATCAGATACCCGTTCTAGTGCTTCTAGAAAACTTGATAGTACGCCTGAACCGTCTCAGATAATGATCTCACTTCACGTCTACGAAACTCTACCTCTTTGTTCAAGAATTGTTCAAAACATATTCGCGATCACTATATTTTAAGACAGATAATAGAGATGAAATTTGTTACACGTAAATATCAATAAAGTTATTTTTTTTTAGGTAAGATAAAAAAATCAAACAATTATTTATCATCATCATATCAACAACGATCATCAAAATCATCCACTACTAATAACACTGATCAAATTGAAGAATTTAATATACCCAATGATATATCACTTGAACTTAAGTTAATTCCACTTGTTCATCGTGATGTTATTCAAGTTAAATATGCTGATGAATTTTTTAGCCTCATTGATTTTTCATCGGCAAGTATTTTCATATTTATACTGACGGAACTTTACATGTGGTTAGTGCCAATTATACGTGGTGGTAGTGCAACTGGCTCAGTAGTTATTAATGAACTTAATCTGAGTCTATTATGGTGTACGATTTCAATTGTGTTATGTGTATGGACCCTTCTACGTATTGTTCGACAATATTTAAAGTCAGATGAAGGTAGTCTATGTGTCATTTTTGGCACTCTATCATTTCTTATATCAATGTGTATACAATATTTTGATGAAAAAATATTTCATATTAATTTAAAAGAAACGTATGGAAATATTTCAAACATAACGTCACAAGTTTACAAAGTGGATATTGATGATGATGGAGATGTTCAAAAACAATATTTAAATCGAAATTTTATTTACATTGTTGTTATTCTATCATTGTTTAGTTCATTGTTATCTGTTATACTTTTTTTTCCAGCGTTTCGTTTCGGTCAAATACAACAGTTATTTATTAAAAAACCACAGACGACAATAAAACAGAGATTAATACTTTTATTAACAATCATTAATTTTGTATTACCATTATTTATTTGTTTATTGTGGTTAAAACCGATAACAAAAACTTTACAATTAAATGTATTTTCAAAGATTGCTACAGAAGATACTGTGATTGACGAAAGACAACTTTCAAGACTGAAAATCGTATTGACAATTTTATCTATTGCCATTCGTTTGCTTCTATTCAAATTGTACATTCAGACTTATTTAGATACAGCCTATGATCGTGTTAAATGTATCTACGAACAACAACAACAACAGACGAATAATACAGCAAGAATAACAAATATAACATATCAGAGAAATGTCACATCAATATTTCTTTATCTCGGTGTTATAGCGTGCAATCTAATATTACCCATCTTTATTCAATTATTCATCTGTTTTCTCTATAAAGTATTAGGCAATGTTTCATGGATTACAAACCTTCCATCTTCACTTCCAATACAACAATCGTCACCAGCATCATTACCATTATGGTTACAACAATTGGATACCTATGTTTTTTCTAATACGACAACAAATTCAACATTATCATTTGTAACAACATGGAATGAGTTAAAAACACTCGTCTCTAGTCAATATGTAGCGGTTATATTTTCTTATTTTCTATTTTGGTATCATTTCGTATATTGTCTTGTTAGCTGTTTTGGACTCTTTTACTATACATATATTCAACGTGAAACCACCATTACACATCTCAAAACAACATGAGAATAATCAGAATCTCAATTCATTTATTTTTCCCTTAGTTTAGTTATTTAGTTAAGTTAATTTGTAAGAATAAGATCTTTCTTAAAAGAGGTGAAGTTGCGAAGACAATTAAGTCAAATAACTTGTTTAGGTGCTCCTGTTTTGACCGCTGTGTGAATTGAACTATCAAAAAAAAATTTTTTCAGTATCTGAATTTAAATCGTGCGTTTTGTTTTCTTTTTATACAGTTTTGTATCACAACGCAGTTTTGTTATTTTTTTTGTAAGTTTAATATAGAAAGTTTGTTAGTTAATTCATTTTATTTGTTCAATTGGTTGTTGAATAATTAGAGAAAAGATAGTTCTTTGTCCGTTTTGTGCAGTCACATGAAATGACGTCTGTATTGTGTGTATATTTCAGATATTGATTTCATTTCAGTTTTGCATTACTTTTTAAATTGGGAACAATGCGTTCATTAACTGTTGATGAGGTTCGTCGACGATACAATCGACAAGTGTTGTTTTGTATGCGAATTAAAGGTGCAGCCATATTTGTTGGCCTTTGGGATTTGGTAAGTATTTTACTTATTAGTTTAATAAACTTGTTAAATTTTCTTTTATTTCAGATGATTCATACAGGTGCATTATTTGCGCTTATGTATATGTTTTTGCGTATGCCAACCGATAATAGTTATCGTGTTGCTCCGATGCCTACACGAAAAATATTGACCGAACCTATTGATACAAATAGTGTTATGTTGACAAAAATAATGGATGCAAGACGATATGGTCCATCATTTACAACAGCAGATTTATATACAAATCTCGATTACATGACATTTAAATGGTCACGTTCATTAAGTCAACGTAAGATTATTTTTTTTCTCATACAAAAGCTCATTGTACCACTTTCTGTTTTTAGAAGACAAATGTATCGTTTTCTTTGTTACTTTATCGGCTACGGTTGTTACACTGGCAGCACTTTATGGTGTATTAACGGTATGCGATATTAAAATGACAGAAACGAGAACGTCAACATCTGCTCTTCATTCTAGAGTAAACCATCGTATATTGTGCCGTATTTTTTGATCAAAGTGTTTAATGTGATTGTCTCGGTATTAACCATGCTTGGTTTTTATGCATATTTGCCAGATATAACAATGTGGATTCGTATGCAACCGAATTTTCCATTTAAGCAAAATTTACTTGAATTAGGTCAACAAACATTGCAATTGGTTTTATTTGCATTTTTGTTATTCATCGTTTTGGCTAAACTATACATTGCTGCTGTGGTCTGGTATGCTTATGGATACATTACAGCGTTGAATGTTGCACGCTCAACTGGTACAACAGCTGATGATGAAACAACGTCAGCAGAGGTTTGTATAGATTCACTTTGCTCCATGAAAAAATTTTTCTTGTCATATTCGAATTGTGTTCATTTTTAATAAATACTTTGTTAATTCTAGCTCTATTCACCACCGAAATACGAAGAGGCAATCAAACAAGAACATTATTACTCAGTTTTACCGCCGCCACCGTATCAACCACTATTGACCAGTTAAATTATGAGGAAAGAATCATCGACAAGTTTTGTTTTCTCATATAACAGTTTGATCTTCTTTGATTATTTATCCGTTGGTCTTTGTTGTATCACTATCGTTCGTTATTTAATTTTATTTCTTTAAAACCAGCTTTTTCCATCTATAAATCTGCAGTACTATAGATCTGATCTCAAACAAAAAAAAATGAGACCGGTGTGTGAGAAATAGTTCAGTGTTCTTCTTTTTTCATGACAAATGTTTAATTTTTATGGGAACAGACGAATATGAGTAATGTTTTTTTGTTTTTTTTGTTATAGTGATAGGCACAAATTTTTTTAATCATTTTTTTTAAAAATTTTTGTTGTTCTATCATAATCTCGCTCAAAAGACTAAACAGAATTTAATGAATGCACATTTAACAGTGAGAGGGCTCTTTTTGTTCTTTCTAGCATGAAGCAACAAACTTTGTAAATATTAAATATTAATTTCATATTTGTCAATAAAGTCAACAAAACAATTTTCGAAAAATTTGGAATACTCGTCGTGAACGAATGAATGATATGATGAAAACGCTAACAAGCTCGGTAAAATTCGTCACTCCAATATCATTTTATTAGTTACCACTTTTTTTATGCCGTCAATCTGTTTCAATAAATTTTTATGTTGGTAGACAGACATACACCGACTTTTACCGGTTGAAAATCCACTCTTTATTCACAAAAATAATTTTATATCGCAAATGATCTTCTAAAATCTGACCTATCGAAGAACTTTGAAATGTCGTGCTATTCATCCGATTTTATTGACAAAGATAAAAATATACAAGATCAACTTGGACTGTTGACGTCGATTTTAAGCTTTTACGGCGTAGATCAAAATAAAGATAAAAATTTTAATTCTATATTATTCGTTAGATGCTGTATTATTTTCACAAAATCTTAGGAAATAGACAAGTGATCTTTTTGAGCAGGTTATGCAAATAGGAAACAGTATCTGTTGTTTTGTAGAAAAAAGATGAAAAATATCGTATATTAAATAAAAAGAGTAGGAAAACAAGAAGATGCTACGATATGTTCAGAAAAGTTTTATCTAAGAATGTAAATGCTTATCTTTTGCCTAAAATATTTTACTGGTTGGGTTGATTTATTGTCGGGGCAACTTGTCAACTCGAATTACATTACATTTTTTAACTTGCGCAAGCCCCTCTAGATTTTATCTCGTACTATTTAGCTATTTTATCAGGAAATATGTACATTTTATCATTTTGTTTCCTACTGAGATATACCTTTCTACCAATAAACAAAATAATATAACTCCATTGATAAAACACTATTTTGACTTGCTATTTCTAGTAAATAACTCTCAACGTTTGTTTGATTATTTCTTCAAGTTTAAAGATTAGTCACTGACTGATTCCGCAGAATCGTCAACATATGAATATTAATTAAATGAAAAATATTTCTGGAAGTTTTTTGCATTGAAATAATGAATATTCATATGCTGGCAATATGGACACGTGTTACTTACTAAACTTTTGGATTTTTGATAGGTACCATTTTTACTCCATTTTTTTTCAAAATCAATCAGTGATTAATCTTTAACCTTGGAGAAATAATCAACAAACGTTGAGAGTTATATCCTAGAAATAGCAAGTTAAAATAATGTTTATCAATGGATTTATGAATCGATAGAGAGATAAATCCAGTTATGGGGGCAAAATGGCAAATCAGTATTTAGCAATTGTTTTCTATCAAAAATCTTTTAACGTAGATTATACTCGTATTGATCAATATGTTTCAATCTGATGCTGTTGTCCTTACGATTAAGAATGTGTACACATATTTTTCTTATACTCGTTTGATCTTCTCACGTCATCATTGTAGGTTGTATAGAGAGAACAAAGAGTGGTTTTCTCAACAAATCATAATGAAAAAATTTTTTCTATGAAGTATATGTTTATTTTATGTTGTACAGTAAAATGTATCACTCTTGAACTATGGAGGACGTTAGTAAGCTGGTTAATCTACTTTTCTTACTAATTGATTTCTGTGCACGTACATTTGTGTGGCTCACTTTAACTAATACATTAAGCTTTAAGTCAATAATACACATAATTGCCTATTCGTATTTAAAGGATGAGACCAAAACGATTGTTGGATACATTTTTTTACAAGATAAAAAAAGAGAACGAACATGGTCTTCCTTGTCAGTGTACTGTTACTCGGTTTATTCATCACTATTCATGCACAAGTTAACAATATCGTACCAGGACAAATGTCCGTTAAATTATTACCTGATAATCAAATTGCCGATTTAGTCTATGCGGCTAATGCAACGGCAAAATTTATCGTATCATTTGATGAAGTTCCGATGCGCGGTAGCAATGACGAAGGTGATGTTCTGTTTGGTGTTGAAATTCGAGGGTGGCATCCATCGGGTGGTCCTCGAGGATATATTGCTTCAGCATTCAATACAACAACATTAACAGATTTTATGAAGAATTATCGAAATCTTGTTGAATTTACATTCGCATCAGATGTGTTTCCTGGTTATTCTTGGTTTTTTCGGCCATATATTGTCTTTTCAAAATTCTACGGTATGTCAACAAATTTTGTGAATTCGGCTGCTTCGGAGCAATTTCATGTACAATCTTCTAAACCAACATCGTAAGCGACAATATAGTACCAATATGCATGACGTCTAAATTTTTTTGTCAAAAGTGATGAAATTTGTCTATTCATTTGTAAAAATGTAATAAATCATGCGCATGTGGGAGATTGTTCTATATTTAATCTTATGAAATTTCCTATGATTCAACGGTTGAAATACAGCTTTTCTAAAACAAATCGATTATCTTCGTCTAAAAATACTTTTTCCTCTACGAGTTGTAATATGTAACGATTATTTTGATGGAATATTTATGAGCATGATTAGTGGAAGAACATCATTTTTCTGATGATTCATAATAACATATTTTACAGTTGATTATATTCACCTGAGGAATTTTCTATGGTTATCACACGTACAAATGAAACAAGTTTTCCAGAAAGGTCATAATATATGAAATGAATCGTATAACATGAACTTAAGTTTAAGATAGTTAATGCTATTTATTAAGCTTCTCGTTGACGAACGGCTCAAAAACGGACAGTTTCATATGACACTGTGGGAAATCTTTCTAAAAAATATATTATCGAATCTGATTAAAAAGAAGTTTATAACAAAATATAGATGAAAAGTAGAAATGAACGTGCAAAACTAGGACAAAAAACCTATAAAGTCTATAAGGCACATTGGGCAATTTAATATTCACATACATTAAGAAAAACCAAAAAGTCTATTTGAGCAAAATTAATTACAAAATAATAAGATTCCGGACGGATATTGACGATAGAACAATGATCTAAACTGCTATTTAGAAATTTTGGGAACTATAGATTAGAACACATTATTGCCTTTATATTAAGCAACTAGATGTGTTACGGGAAATAACAGACGTTGTTGAGACGTACCACTTAATGCACACGAGGACGATATTAAACTCGTTGAAGTCGAATCTCTATTTAGTTCACGATCGATTTTATAATTAGTCATTGTAGATGGCGCCGTTGCTACTACCATTGAGGATGCAAATGTTTTTTGTCTTTGGAATAATTTTCCATTTGTTGCTTTAAAATTCAGTGGTGGATGATGATTGTATGATAGCCAGTGTCCTCCTTGTTTTAAGCGACGAATATTCTCCATACTAGCACCTATATCAAAAATAATGTAAGATTATGTATGTATATATAGATGCAACTAAAACTCAGACACACTTTCAGATCAGTCTTGGTAATTTTCATATATTTAAGTTATGACTATGCGAATTTGAAATCAAACCAGGCGCGACTGAAGAGAATGGTAAAATATGAATGGATATTTGATAATAAAATTTTGTCAACGGTAAACTCGTACACTTTGAAAAAGAGATTGCCACATCTGAAGAACATCAGTGTGAGTGACCGCCGATAAGCACCGTTTAAAGTTTAGATCTACAAAGTTCCTAATGTTTTCTATTACTCATACTGATGTCCTTAGATATGACAGTCTCCTTTTCAAAGTGTACGAGTTTACCGTTGACAAAATTTTATTATCAAATATCCATTCATATTTTACCATTCTCTTCAGTCGCGCCTAGTTTGATTTCAAATTCGCATAGTCATAACTTAAATATGAAAATTACTAAGACTGATCTGAAACTCTGTTTGAATTTCAGTTGCGCCTGTAACATACCACTCCAATAATTTTCATGATAGTTATTAAAGTTTGAATGAATTAAAATAGAAAAAAGTCATCAACTTAAGCATACAGTAGATTAGAGCTTTAATCTGGCAGTCTTGAAGGTTTGTGAACTTTAGGGTTTTGCATCTTAAACTTTATCTTTAAATATCCAAGGATGAGAGACAAGTATTCTGTTAATAATACTGTTAGATCGCGTAACAAGCAAAGCCATTTCAAACAGTGAACATTAAAACTGAAATTTTAAATTTCAACTATGTGGAGAGAAAAACCAGTCGTACTGTTTTATTCCATACAAAAATGGTTTACATCTTTTTTGTGAAAAATACTATTGTATATCAGATGTCAAAAAAAGCATCACTCATAACACAACAAATATAATTCATTGATATTTTCTTTTATCAACTAATTATATTGTAATAATTTTTTGTCTATCTTATTAAAAAAATTTACCTGTTTTTCCTCCGAAAAGGAAATCAGTAACATTTACGGTAGAAATTGTACTTTTTCCTATAAAACAGAGAATGATGCCTAAATGATACCTAATATCACTAAATATCTAGGACTTAACAACAAAAATGTGAGATAAAATAATAAATTCATGCAATGGTTATACCGGCATGCAATGTTTTAATCAGCAAGCATAACATGCAGCTGTAAACGATACGCCGATATTATCTCATAACTAGCTTTTGATTAAAATTATTTACCACTGAAGTGTTGTAAAAAATCGATAAAACTCAATTGTGTGATTAACCCATTTTTGACATCGACAATGACTATAATAGAATGAATTAACTATTCTCTCTTTCTCTCTCTCTCTCTCTCTCTCTCTCACACACACACACACACACATAAGCTACGCGTGCTCTATACTGTGATTTAGAAATATCATTTAACAGTGCTGTTGTGTGCTTATCATACACTTTATACACACTTTTCCAACCTGTATTTTTATTGCTGAGCTGTTTGCTCTCTCATCAGTAATAACTGTTGCGTAAATACAACAGTTTGTCTTTGAAATGATTTTCCTTTTCGAATTAGTAATTTTTGTTTTAATAATTTTGTACTTGCTGTACGTAACGGTAATGGTGGCAGATGATTCAAATCGAAACTTGTTATCAAATCTTTAAAAATTTTACTTAGGATATTCAAGCATATCAGACTTATAGATAAGTTTAAAATGTTTATAGAAGTTAAAATATTGATAGAGAAAAAAATTTCTTACCTTTCGGAGATGGTAATCTATCATTTACTTTTGTTCTACTCAATTGTCGTACTGGCAATGAATCAATAAACATCCGTGATGGATTTGTTTTAAGTTTAGCTGGTTGTATACTATGCAATGGATCATTTTGTTGCGTACGAAATAATTTGGCAAAATTTTTTCCATTTATTTGATTATATTGATGATAATTATCATCGGCTGACTGAGAAAATGCTAGAGTTTCTAGAGGTGAATTTGATAAAAGTTCTACACGTGCCAATGTTGGTTGTGTCATTTCACGTCGTAGTTTTAAGGTAACACGACTCTCAGTATTGCTATTATTAGGAGAATAGACAGATGTTATTTGCTGAGAGCGTGTGGCTAATGTATCAAAATTTATAGGAGATTGAGACTGTAGCGTACTGCGCTGATGTGTTAATGTATTTACAGAGGAGGAAGACGGTACTATTGTTGATGTCGTTGTTGCAGGATGCGCTGTCGACGATGTTCGACCGGTTTTACACAATTTACCTTAAACAAGTTACAAATAGATCATTTAATATACTAAGTTGTTGTATATACCTTCAACACGAAGATCAATACCAATGTACGTAGGTACCGGAACGGGAATTCCTTTATGAATTAGTTCAAATCGTCCTGTGTCAGCCGATTTATTATATTTTCTATCGATCATAACTAAAATGATCACAGTATAGTTTCTGCAGATGAAAAATATCATTGTTAAGTCACCTTTACACGTGTCTTCGAGGACACTATCACACATGTCTGTAGTAACTGCTGTACAACGAGCCATTGTTGGAGAACAATTAATTTCAATTAACCATGGTTTTAGACTTTCATCAAGCATAAAATCAGCTCCATATAGTTCAAATGAATTCTAAATGAAAACTGTTAATGTTTTTATATATTATATACATCAGTCATTAATTACTTTTCTCGCATCAATGGCATCTTGTGCTACTAACATTGAACAGACAATGGCTTCTTTCATTTGAGGATAAATTTGTGTTTCCCATTTATTAGTTAAACGATTTGGTTTTAAATATTTTTCAATAAATTCTTTATTTGTCCACATATTTTCATCTTTAAAAAAGAAGTAGATAATTGGGAATTTATAAAAAGAATAAAATGATTTTATACCTGGTAAATTATTATGTCTTATAGGATTATTTTTGTAATGTTTTTGTATACTATAATTGCATAAATGAACATTTTGATTTCTTGTTTCTAGACTAAAATGTTCGGTACAAAATCTCAAATAACAATCTTTGAACATCCATATTGTTAGTGGATTCCAATCTGTTACTAAGAACCATTGACGAATGTCAAATTTTGTGTTATGAATTAAAAGTGGTCGTTCAATGTATTTTTGTACAACAAATTTTCCATCTTTTGATAGTGAACTCGAGCAAAGTTTTAACATATCTTCTAATCGATCATAAACAACAATACCTTAAACAAATTTTCAAATTTAATTAGATATAACTAGATAATAAAGTATTTCTGTTTACCTCGTCCTCTTGATTTTGCACCGGGTTTTACGATCCAAATGTTTCTTGTGCCATCGATTTGATATTGCGGCCAGTAATCCTTGATTTTCGATAGACAATCATCAATTTTTGATAAATTTATCTCCATACATTCGACATCAACATTTGAACTACAAAATAAACAGAAATTAATGGATTCAGTATCCCGTTATTGTTCATTTACTGTGATGCAGCATAAAAATATTCGATGAATTGATTCCATTGTTCATCTGTTGTATCATTTTGATTGTTTATGTTTTTGTCAATATCCTCATGATCACGAAATAAAGCAAGTTCTAATACTTTTGTTATGGCAAATTCAATTGCCGATGCGGGAACTTTGGTAATTTTTGTTGCTTTTATCACTTTTGACAATGGTAATGATTGAGAACCACTTGTTGAGATAATGGTAGCTGCTTGCTCTGTCATTAATTTAATCTGAGATGTAGATGATTGTTGTTCATCAACTGTTAAATCAACTGTTTGACAAGAATCTTCGGTCAATGTCGTTGTACCATGATCATCGGAACTCATGGCCAAAATAGATCGCATGTCTAAGGATATCATACTAAGAAATTAAACTCACTTTAAAGATATACTAGACCTTACCTGGCTCTGCGACACCTTTACAACGATTTTGTATTAATTTTAGAAAACTGATGCACGCAGTTAAACGATAATCATCTTTAAAATATAGAACAAAAACTAGTGTTTCTATCCTAGATGGATTGTGTACAAATATCGTACCTACAAATCCGACCTTATCGTCTTCATGTGATAGTTTATAACAGCGAGGATAAAATTCATCGGCAGAGCTTGAATGAAACCACGGTAAATTTTTTAAACTGCTACATAACCCAATCTAAAACAAAATAAAAAATAATTACAAACATTTCACTTTTATTGTTTGCTTTTTCATACTTTTGTTGTAAAACATCCATTTCTCGAATAATGATTGACCATTTGATCTTTGTTCAATGTATTAGTATCATATGTGGCTCTCACACTCCAAATAAAATTTGGTGCAGCATTTTTAACTAAACGTGATAACAAACCGTAATAACCATCATTTTCGTCCCACGGTTTTTCTTCATCATCTTCTAATTGATGTTCGTCTAAGTAAAAAAAGGTTATTTTACTTAATTCAGATTTAGTATTGTTCTTACCAAGATCATCGTCACCCATATCATCATAATCATCCGTATCCTTTTCATCATCATCACTTTTTCCACTTTTTTTTTCCGATCTTCTACTTCCTCTTAACGATGGCAGAGAACTATTACGATTAAATTTTTCAAGCCAACCTCGATTTCTCAATGCTTCTCGCAATGCTGGATATGGACCGATTATAGTAAAAATTTTATGTTCCTATATAGAAAGAAAAACATAAATCATCATCGAAAGGTGAATAAATATTGTCAAACTTACTTTCATGGCTCGTTCTGCTTCATCTCTAGCCAATTTTAAACGTTCTATATTTAATTCACTTCGTTTTGGAGATGTGTCTACGCGAACTTTTGGTGGTGATTTTGATCGGCTAATTGAGGGCATTGTGATACTTCGTTGTCCACGAGTATGCTTGAAAATTAATGGTTCATTGTTCTCTAAACAGACAAAATAGGATAACCGAGGAGAATTTTGGTCAGGAAGACGTCTGCCATAGAGACTGTCATGCTCGAACTTTAGTACTGTACGGCTGTATAACAACATTGGGCAAGTTACGTATGTTATATGCTTCAGATCACACGTTCAATAGCCTTCTCAGTGTGTTGTGACGTACAGTACAGTTCCTCCACTTACTCTTCGTGGTTTTTCGGAAAGCTAGTATGTGGTTAGTGAGTGTGTATGAGGAGTTTGAGTAATGGAATGAATAGAACTCTGGCCCGAACTGTAGTTTCTGACTAGTAACGATATGAGTGACCATATCATAAGTTTGTTAACTGCAGGGAAGATATCAGGCTATTAAAACACGTGACAACACTCTACATCGGTAATGATCACCGTAAGGCAGGTTATTCCCTCTGTGCCGTAGGTGGAAGCATCTTCAAAAGCTAGTGAGACTGAAACATTCCATGATGTTGTGCAGCCTGTGATTTCCACCATGAATTTCGGAAAAAATTATTGAGCAAAATAATGGAGAAAAAATTTTCAAAAGTATCTTGACCAAAATTTGTACTGTACAAGGTCATCGATTTTACTTAATCGCAAGCATCAATTTTACTGAAGAGCAGTATCAAAAGTGACGTTATAGTATTGTTGTATATTTTATCACTCCTTAGTGAACTCCTTTACGACATTGATTTAACTTCCTATAAATGTGTTTAGTTTTTTACTCGGTTGAATTCAATCAATGACTAATTCAGCAGCGAGAAGTTCTAGCTTAGATTCCAGAACTACTCTAAGATTCTATGTTATTACTTACAATATACCTCGTATTTTTAATAACGTCATTTATTCAAAAGATGGTTGATATTTGTTTTATTGACATCTATGGAATAAAACTGTAAACAACATTTAATATGTCTAAAATTAACCTTTTGTGATGCAAGGTCACAGAAGGCTGCTGTTTAAGAAGGTTGTTTAAAATCAAGTATATCAACTATATAATCAAAGTTTTCTAGTGAGATTTGACTTTGAAAAAACAAAAATATTCTAGTTTTTATAAGGTGTACATAAAAATTTAATTAATTGACAAAAATGATATAGGAAAGTTAAATATGAAGTTGAAAAATGCGTTTTTCTAAGTTATCTAACTGAAATTGAATGTGTCGAGGTTGATCAAGTGAGATAGATTATCATCTATAATCACCTTTTGTAGAGTTTTATTTTATATTAGGAAAGAAGAGAAGAGCTAGCTTTAATAAAACTGCTTATTCTGCTCGAGCATGAAGAACGTATCTTTATAGAGCCATATCGTTATTGTTGTTATGTTATTTTTAAAGCGATTGAAATACAAACCTCTCTATATGTGATGACGAGGACTAGACAAACAAGATGTTGTAAAACTCCGATTGTTTTTTACTTTATAATGTGTTCATTCTTATTTCAAAGAAAGGTAAACGAAAAAAAAAGAAAGAATATTTTTTTTTTAAGTAGTTTTCATTTTATTAAAAAAGAAAAATTTATAGATTGGCATTGCATGCCGGCACCCCACTTCTGTAAGAAGAAAAAGGAAAAGAAGAAAAAGAAAAAAATTTATTCACCGTATGTTAAGTGATTGTTATCTTCTCATTTCATTCGAATTTCAATTATAAAATAATAACTCATACGTAGTTCAAAATCATTTAATCATTCTTATTTATATTTTCTTATACAATAAAAATCATATTTTAGTATATACGTTTTAAAAAGTTTTTAGAAATAGTTGAAATTAATTGTCAACGTTGATTTGATAGGTTTCAGAAATGTAAACATATATATTGTTAAATTTATAATGGATAATATCTTCTTTATTTTAACTGAATCTTATATAAATCATATATTTGAATTTCGAATGATGAAAACAGAGAGAAAATTAATCAAAACTAAACAGATAAAATTCCATGATAAAAGAATTGAATACTAGTAAAATAGATAATTCAAAAAGCATAGAGAAGTCTCTATATTATAGATATTCTACTCATGAAAATAGACTTTCTTAAATCTGAGTGTCAATTCAAATAAATATCTAGACGATCTCAATTGAAATTGTTTTCAAGTAAAAAAGAGTATTTAAATAAACTGATTGTTATAAATTATTTATATGAGTACACACATCATAGAAAATGTAGAAAATAATTGCAATAAAAAAAATGATTACCTTTACTAGGTTTTTCAACGATCGTTCGAATTGTTTGGTCTTTCAATTCTTTAGTATTATCATCTTAATAGTTTTTGTATTTCATTGATGTTCATATTATTTAATGTTGATGAACAATTACGATTCAACGTTTGTTCTTTCTCAATTTTTATAGAATTGAAATCGATTGATTAACATTTCGTAGTTCACGATTTTTCTTATTATGAGAATATCATTGAAAATACTTTTTTTTGCCGCTTCCTCTTTCTAAATTAAAACAATAATAAAAAAAAGAAGAGATTATTGATTTTGTTCTATCTAAGTGAAAATAAAAATGTTGGCAATTTATAAGTTTTTTCCTCTTGTCCATGAATTATGGATGAACAAGGAAGTAACCTATAAATATATAGACGTACAGATCTTGTAGTCGTTGTACAGTGATATGTAATAATTGTCAACAGCAGTCATTTATTCATATTCAAGTGTTTTTTAAAGTTACTTAATCTGACAAATAGTTAATAATATCCCCTATTGTATATACATGCCCTGTAATTGCTATACATATAATTCAAATTCTTTTTCTCTCTTCTGAACAATAGGTTTTATTATATGTTCTTACATTATTGTTATTTTTGTTTTTTTTATGAAAAATGGACAAACAACTTCATACGTTTTATTCTTTTTCTCTTTCTTGCAAATTTCATATAGTATAAATTATTAAAATGACATACATTCTATTTCAAGTTTTTTATCGTTCTGCTATGAGAAAAAGCACCATTATTCACTTCTCAGAACGAAATATCATAGTAAATCCTCTATCAAGAACATTATGATAGAAAAAAATAACATTTTGTAGTAAATTGGCAACATTAAATTGTCTAATTTAGAAAAAACTTTGCTACTAGATTTCAGCTATTTTAATGTATATGATATCTGTTAAATACGGCACAAGTCTGAACTTAAATTTTCCCTAAACTTGAATACAATTATAACAACATGATTTTAAAATGTTCAGATAGTTTAAAAATGAGTAATTTTCCTAGTTTAAATTTGGCCATAATATATAAGCATTTAACATATATATGAGCTTTTTGCCTTGTAAAATAATGAGTTTAAACAAAGTATCTCAAGGAAGCTGACAAAGAGGCTAATTTTCGTAATCATAAGAGTTATGATAACGGTTAAAATCATCTTTGTATGTCACATCGTTTCTCAAGTTTGTTTCTTGCAAGAGTGTGAACTTGACCGAACAGTGGTTTTTTAAACTGCTTATTTTTTTGAGTAGCAGTTACAATTATCTAGGTATTGAGAAACATGTTATATGAAGAGTGACCCATATCTCTCGTTAACAACATTTTTGATATTAGCTGCTAGAATTTTTTGAAAAAGACGCAGCACTTTATCACAAATTATTATTCATTTGAAAATTGATAAAATTTTCTTCATTGCTTTTCATTTTGCAACTCTGTATAAATTTGATAATGGTACTTTATTCCCTTTACTGAAAGCAAAGAGGATCATACAAAATAAATAAAACAATTTCCACTTTTTTTAGCTTCAAACTATAGTTTCGACAAAATTCTGCTAAAAAATGTCGTATTTTGTACATTTTTGAACAAAATAAGATGTCTCCCAGCTCGTCACAAACATTATTCCATCAAACGACGATTGAGCGCTGAAGAGCCAACCCTAAATCGTCAAAAGAAGCGAAATTTACTAAATATTTGGAAAAAAAGTATCTTTGTGACTCGCATTAAAAAATTAGCTGAAGCACAACTTCCTTTAGTCGTATAATGAAGAATCTTACAGAATATTTAATAAGTACTATATCAGTATAAACGAAATAAACCTTTTGTTTATTCTCACTTCGAGAAAAGAATTATAAATGATCTCGTCCTGGTAATTCACATTCTGCTAGCCAGTTTTGTTCATTCCTTGTTCACCACATCGTTTGTCGTTTATGACTGTATCGTTTCACTTTATTTTTATTTTTGGTCTTAAAAATATATTTTTTCACCTAGAACGAAGAATCTTGAATGTCACAAGATCGTACAAAATTTCGCAAGATCTTATAAAGTCCTTGTGACTTCTTGCTGCAGGATCTTACAGCAAGATAGTACAAGATTTCATAACCCGCATCATCGAAATCGTGATATTTTTGACAATTAATCGCGTACCATGAAAAATTCGTCAATTAATTGCGATTAACTGGCGAATCTGATGATTTTTCTTTTTTTTAAAATCGTCAATTAATTGAGATTAATTGTTTATTTTAAGCAATTAAAGGGTTTCTTAAGGTACATAGAAAAATATACAATTGTTTTTTTGCAAAGAATTCAATGGCGCATCTTTTTAACAATAACTAATATTTTATTATACCTTCTCTGTCTATTTCTTTCATGAATTTTTTCTCAGTCAAAATTTACATATATATACATATACAGTAGTGTAGTTGTGATTAGTTGTACATTTAAAGTTTAACTGTGTATTTCACCTGAAAATGGTTCTGAGAAGAGACCGATACGCCGAGTAATGTTATCTAATAAAGAATAAATAGTTATTTTATTCGACAATTATGGCTGCTTCTCTCAAATATTGTTCATTTCGTTTATTGACTCTAATACCATTCAAAAACCATTCATATGTCTTATTAGGAAAAGCAAGAGATATACCGGGTGTCTCAAAATGACTGCTCATTTTTGTGTCTGCATATATCTCAGTTCAAATATATAATAAAATTTTAGTTTTTTAAGAAGATGCATCATTGAATTCTCTGCAAAAAACAAATTGTACATTTTTCTATGTAACTTAAGAATAAAAAAATGTGGATGGAAATACTGCGAATCTGCAATCCCAAGTACGATTAATAGTAAAACATGAAGACACCCGCAGACAGCACACAGACAGCCACAGACAGCTACACAGACATCAAAACACAAACATCCATGGATGTCTGTGTAGCTGTCTGTGATTGTATGTGTACTGTCGGTGGCTGTCTGTGGATGTCTGTGTGCTGTCGATGGCTGTCTGTGGGTGTCTTCATGTTTTACTATTACCCTCTCAAGTACTTCCCAGGTCCAAAAACACTGAGCAAAAAATTTATTTTGGGCGCGTTGCCATACATCAAAGTGAACTAAAATATATGTTCTACTTCTTCTAAGTGTCGTCTTTCTTTTCATATATTGTAGTAAGGGTGTTTTTATTGCATAAAAAGCAATTTTACTAAAACTCATTGTAAAAACGAGAACATGACTGTTTCATTTTAGTACAGTAGAAGTAACGGAACTATTGAACTTTTCCCTTTCGGATGTAGACCCTTAGATCGCTGTCTACCCCGATGACGAGCTTCAAAAAACTTGACGCAGCTCTTGACGATCTCTTTACGGAAACATTGGCAAAAAATGATACATAAAGCAATGAAATAGATGTTCAATTATCATAGGTAAGAATATATTCACCGTAAATTTGAGAAAAGAAAAATCCATGATTTTCTTTATCTTGTTTTTAATCACATACAAAAGTTCATCCACCATTGAATAAGTTGTGTGATGTATGTAATCACGGACTTTTCAACGCGGAGTTGAATGACAGCTTCTCGTGTTGAGAAATTCGTGACTGATTATTTCACGGACCTTAGTCAATGATGGAACGAACTTTTGTACGTAATTCAAAGAAAGTGATTTTTTTAAATTTACAGTGTATATTAAAGTTTCAACAAGCAAGAGCCCAAAATTATTTCTTCTATTTGAAGTATTTCGTATAGCAATAATGACATCGATAAACAAGACTGTTCGTCAATCAATATTGATCAAATGTTGAATTTGATCTATTATACTCATACCACATCTACGAACCTATATAAAATTGATTAGAAATCTTTAATTCTAATATCAAAAGTCAAATCATTAGAGGGCGATTAGAAGAGAGAGTAAGGGTATGATACATAAGTCTATAGATACGAAGTTAAAATTAAATCAGATTTTTAAAAGCATAAGGGGAAACTCCGCGTGAGTGCGGTTGATTTGTAACGACCTATATGCCGTTCGTATTAAGTGCGATTCACCTTTTTTCTTTTGGCGGCTCTGTTTTCTTCTGCGTTATGCAGCCTCAAGGTTATTCTCTTCTCTCTTGATGCAAGCTGACAAAGAATGCTTTTTAATAAAAAGAAATTCTGTTCGCTAAAAGAGACTTTTTTCACCATGTTTTATTTTTAAAAACATAAGTTTTTCTTCTTCCTCTTTTCTTTTTTATATTCTTGAACTAAATCAAATTTGGTATTGAGAATCAGATAACTTTAAAGCATTTTGTTTTGTATTTTTTGATAAACAATTGCAACAACGTTTGGGAAGATCAAAAATCCATGAATAATTTTCACTACCGTTTTAAGAGGATCTTGATCAGCAACAGCACAGAGAGAAGAATTGTCGTGTTTTGTGTAAACTCAAACTTTATATATTTTTTTAAAGTTTTAGATTAACTAATGTCAACCATTCTTGATCGATTAGAAGGTGCATTAGTAGGGCATGCGCTATGTGATCGATTTAATGCTTCAACAAAAATGGCATTTCAATTGGGTGAGAGTCTTATGGAGTTGAAAGAATTTGATTCATCAGATGTTCTGTCACGCTATTTATGGCTATACCATACATCTACTAATAATTGTGATATGGGTGAAATCATAAAACTCGTCTATCATGATCTGGTTAGTCAAATAAAAACGAAAAAAAACAACAAAATAACACAACAAGATTTTAAATTTCATGTGCAACAAATTAATGCTACATCAGAAAAAGTTAATGAAAAATTACACGGCCTTACAGCTGGATGCAATCCGGCACATCGATCGTATCCAATTGCATTGTACTCATCCATACATAATGATGATGTATTCGACATTTCAAAGCAAGAAGCGTGTTTGACTCATTATTCTCCCGAAGCTGGCCAAGTATCTGGTATAGTAAATTTAATCTGCAGATCTCTTATTATTGGACAGACATGGGACTCTGCGGTAAACAATGCATTTTGTGTACCAAATCTGTCTACCGATATACAGCAAATAGTGAGTTATCATGGGCGGTCAAGCCATATATTCGAAGCAAAACCTTCTGCCTATGCTCCAAAAGTGTTAAAAATAGCGTTGGATTGCGTTAAAAACTCTAAATTCTTTAAAGATGCATATGAAAGAATATATAGGATAGATAATATCTACGCCCCACCCATTGTTGGCATATTAGCTGGTGCTCAATGGGGACTAACGTCCATGTTAAATATGATAAATGATAGCGATCAAAGTCTAAGTGCAATAAGAAAAATGGCAAATGAATTGGCACAGCCATGGGAACGAATCCTCGAAAAAGATAATAGCAAAGTGCATGTTTAATGTATATGCATCCTATGCAAGGACAGTTTATTTACAAATTTACCCGCACTCTGCTTTTCCTATCAACTTATCTGCAGGGCTTTACATTCAATTTAATTCGTTCAAAATATATATCTGTTCAGAACGTACCGAATACCTATACGAATATAACCTCTTCCAGTAAATCTCAGAGGTTTGTCCGATCTCGAAAATAACTTAGTCTTCTATTCACGAATTAATTAATTCGATATCGTGGCGCGATATTCTCTCAATGAACCTCATACTAATATCTTGAAAGAGACAAATAGTCTCGAAATTTAGTCATTGAGTTTTCTTCACTCTGAAAATAACTTTTAAATAAATAGTGCTGAAAGCGAAACTCTCTGTTTGAACTATTATGAATGTTTCACATACTTATTGTAAGTTTCAAAAGTTAATCGACGATGCAAAAGTAATTGGACAAATGATGATCATTATTTCTGTATGTTTCTAACGTGCTGGAACGTTAATTATTTTTCCATCGGAAAGATCAAAATCTGAACTTCAAAAAAACATAGAAAACAAAATTTTTTGTCATTGAATATGAGTGAGAAAATATTTAAATACCATACGTCACCCAAAAAGTATGTGTAATATAGTTTTCTTTTTTTGTTTTTTCACTACAGTCTGATGAAAAACGCTTCTTTAAAAGCCAAATAGATGAGAATATTGCCTGTGCAAAACTCTATCGATCCCTCTATTTTCAAAAATCCCTGAGCAGTTTTTTAATAGTAAAGAAAAAGTATATAAAACTCAATTTTGGTAAAAAGCACCACTTTGCATCAGAAAGATAAAGCATCGAGAAAATCTGTTTAGTCAGGACTCAAACGATGTTAGGAATAACTAAATCTAATGTGAGTTTGTAGAGAATTAAATGCTCTTGCAGAAAATGCGTCTTAGCCAAAGAACAAAGTTCTGAAAACCATTAGTTAAGTCTAAGTAATCGTGTTTCTGAAACTAACGAAAAACTTCGACAATTTCTGGTTGAAAAATGAATCAAAAAATTATTCACTATATCCCATTTCAAAGAGGAATAAAGGCACTTCTAGTTTCTATAACCATCAAGCATGCACCAAATTCGAACATTCTGATTCAGTTGGTTCGGTCTCGTTTTAGATTCAGGTTCGTTGGCTTCGGATTCACGTCGCCGTTTGAATTTGGTCGAGATAAAATGGTATGGTACATGGTGCCAAGAAAATGTTACCTGGTACACAAACTTATGCATGCATTTCAAAAACAATGAAACATTTGGAAGAAAAATTTTCGCTGCCAAAGTTGTTCAGGATAGTCCTCTTCATACCCTAAGCGGAGCACTTTTTTCATTTTAGTGGGAAAATTTTGAAACAAATGCAATTTACATAAACTTTAAGTAAATTTAAAGCTAAAAATTTTCTATTCGTAATTTATTTCAAAAGTTTTCCACTAAAAAGAAAAAAGTGCTCCGCTTAGGGTATGAAGAGGACTATCGTAAACAACTTTGACAGCGAAAATTTTTCTTCAGAATGCTTTGTTGTTTTTGAAATGCGTGCATAAGTTTCAAAAAATTACTTTAAGGACTCAAACTGCACTATAATGAAAAATGTTAATTTTCTCAGACACCGTTGGTTC